GTGTCGTTATACTATAGCACAATGGTTTTCATATTAAGTACTGCAAATCTATGTTCATTGAAGTTTTTTGGACAGATGCATGTTAAAATTCTAATTAGATATAAGATATTCATTAAAAGGTGTATATTGACTACTGTTTGAATAGATAGTACTTTGATTGGAATAATTTTATGTTGTGGTTTTATCAATGAGAATTTCATTTGCTGACAGAATAAAAAAAGAAAGATCGGTTTTTAGTCGAATTAACAATACCTCAAGGGCTAGGTGAACATTTTCAATTATAAAATATGATATGGTGTTGTTTAGACCATTGATAGAATGTGATGTCTTTTCGATGATCTAAGTATCGAATATATTGCTTACGAACACATAGTTATTTTGTTGAAATAAGTTTTAATATCATTTATTTGTACTCGGAATATTAAGTATAATAGTGATACATATCAAAGACGAAAAACGATAAATTAAGTGGTTTCAAGAAACTTTCCTGATACACATGTGAAGCATTTTACGTAGATAATAATTTGTACCGAATATATTTTGATCGCATTGAATACATAAAGTCAATAAAAATTGAATTTATTGCGTAATTCTCTTATAATAAAATAAGTGAGTACCTGACAGGAATGAATATTTTATTTATGATTTTCTTCAACCAGTCAGATAAAAAGTTGAAATAACACTCGCAAAGAATAGGCAATGCTTGATATGCAATAGTAAGACTCATATATTGATTTCGATATTAATAAATGTTGCCATTAGAACTGGCTCGACACGAGCATATTTTAATAGGCCTCACTTTTCATTACTGTTAAGTCAAACTCGTAAACCAAAACCACAATGAATTGTTATGAACTTTGACGAATAGCTGCAATCGTACACGAAGTTGAAATTATTTCATTGTTGTTTTGTTGATTCGACTGATTTTTTTTTAATTTATCAAGTGAAAAACGTGAAATTCGTAGTTTATCAGTATCATTGCAATGTTGAGACAAAGAACTATTTTAATATTTGCAAAAATAATGATATGGACTAACGTGAGTAAGTCAGATATTTAGAAACTGTCAATTTTTAGTATTCAACAAAAGTACTTAACTTTCGAGCAATCAGACCGGAACAATTCTTATAATGAAACTAATGCTGTGCACTATTCATTCGAACATTTCAATATTGGATTATAATATTTTGATCTCAAACTTATAATGAATTTCAAATCACTTCTTCTTCACTCGGCATATATTGCAATAATTTATAGATATGAAAAATATTTTATTTAATAAAAATAAATAATGATAGAATCAGACAAGTGAAAGTTAACTTCTAAAATAATAGGTCGAATCAAAACATATTGTGTTTTATTGCTTATTATTTTTCACAAATTTATAAGAGACAAATAAGAAAATATTTTTATACAGTACAAAAACAAGCATTAATAAACGAGAAAAAAAAACATCATACTATATGCCATGAAACTTGAACAACACCAACACTAAAACTTCCAGCAATAGCTTTGAATGCTACAGGTGATAAATCTAAACTACCATGATGACAATGTGAACATCGATCTACTACTTAAACTACAATAGAGCCTCGGGAACCTTTTACTTGAATTTTTCGATTGCATAATGAGTTTCCATTTGGCGTATGTAGATCAAATTGAGGAGCATCCAAAGCAGCTATATATTCGGTATCACTATGTCGTGTTCCACATGCTGTATATTCACTTTGAACATAATAATAAGTACATCGCCCATGAAACAAACCACTACGTAATGGTTTTTGTCTGTTTGAATTGTATTCACTTGACCAACACTTTCCTGCTTGGCATCCAATACCACAAAATCTTCAGCACTAGTACCACAATAACCCCATCGGGAACAACACATTTTAAATGGACAATCACAAGCGGCTTCATAACCAATTATATGATTCAATTTCAACAGTATACAAAGAATAAAAGATAGTACGTTGAATGGATGCATAGGAGAACGAATGAATAGACAATATTCTATCTCTATAAAATAGTCAAAACTTTCTAACAATATTTTGAAAGATAATATGACATTTCGATGAAAAACAAAACATTTTATTTTTGTATACTGTATCTTAACAGTTTGTGGAGTAGTTATGAGTGTCATGTCAAACGAACTTTTTTCTTCTTTAGAACACTTTTCCTATCGTACGGTGTTATTTACTATATGAGATCTAACTTATCAAATAATAAAAGAAAATATTTTTTTTGTATTGTTTATTAAACTTGATGATGTTACAATTAAATTTTTTTTATATTATCACTCAAAGCTAATGTAAATGATGCAGAATGCATGAAAAGCTTTGAGAAAGATTTAGTTGAAGATAAGAAACCTTCGACATTATGCAAGGAATATTTCTTTAAGAATAGTAAGACAATGTGAGAAAAATTAAAAAAATACATAATATCAAGCCATTGTCCATAATAGAAGAACTTGATGACCTGTCCAGCTAAAAATGATCATATTAGGCCAAAGTTAGTTGAGCAGAAGAATTCTTGAATACAAAAGGCTTATTGTTCAATTGTTCACCAATCAAATTTTGATGCACTTCGAATCTTTTCTTTTTAAATGGCAAAAACCGCAGATTTCTATAATGTTCCTATCAAAACTATTGAAAAAACAGTGAAACACAATATATTTTGAAATCGATAGTAGAAACTTGCATATATATTTCTGTAGTATAAGTGTCAGATCTTTGTCACATATCATAATAATCCAAATGTCAAAAATGGGTGAGTACATTACCTATGAACAACCTACTTGACATCTATAATTGATAGGGTTTTTAAAAAGATTTCATAAATTAAAAAATGTTCTACATGAAAAAACAAAATACATTGATTGTTCAGATATCAAAGATTGATTATTTTAATAAAATATTTTCAAAAACAAAAATAATTTTTTATTCATAATCATATTGTACAATATATTCTGGATATGCTTGATAACTATTAAATATACAAAACATATCATTTCGAGTATTATTATGATGAAATACTGAATGACATCCTTGTGCTGGTGATTTAACACCTGAACCACCTTGACTTGAATTTCCTAGTAAAACTTGACAAATAAATAATTCTCTTCGATGATTTGTTTTTTTTAATACATATGAATCATTATTAGAGTAATTAGCATTTACTGCAAAATAAACTCCATCACCAATAAGACCACCAGGACAAAAACTATGATAAAAACCATGGTACATAATTAATTTTTGATGCGAAATTGAAGCTGTACCATGAAAAAGACGTTGAATATTATTAGGAATTATTTTTTGTAATTCTTGAAAAATATTCCAAAGTCGAAGATTTTGTATTCGAATTATTGAATAAATAACTGTTGATGATTTTTGAAGAGATTTTGAAAAAAAATTTGATATATCTTGAAATTCTTGTGATGATCGACATAATTTTATAAATTGAATAGGATTTTCACTTAATGACATTGTTGTCCAATGTGAAGGATGTGCTAATGATGAATTAAAATTAATTGTATTTCGCATTGTTAATTCATGATTAAGAATATCCCATATAGAATTTTCAATAGGAGATTGTCCTCGAGAATGTAAATTAGTTAAATAATCAATAAGTTTTTTTAATTCATTATCAGTTTTTGTAACAGCATAATTATATGGATCATTCTTCAATTGTGTTATTTCATAATTAATACTATCAACTATTTTATCATATAAATTATTTGATATTGTTGATTGACCATTTTTCCATAATGTATTTAATTCATCTTGTAATTGATAAAGATCATCTAATTGTAGATCACCAAGATATTTAATACCGATATTAGCTAACTTTGTTGCATGCATTAGAATGTTATGTTATATGAAGGACGTCTAATATTTTTCATTTTCATACGAAAGAAAAAGAAAAAAAAATTGGTGAGCTTGTGTCGAAGAAAAAACAAGTGCGAGGTCATTACTTGTTTTACAATATGGTTGTGCAAGTCGAACTAAATAAAATGACGATGAGATCATTATGTGGTGATGATGAATAATCAAAGACCATTTTTTCGGATATAATGAGATAAGATTGTGATTGTTTGATTAAGTTAAAATGAATCATCTATCATAAGTCGAATTTCTTATTTTTGAAAAACTAAGAAATTTATGTCCGCTCATCTTGAATACAATGAAAAAAATAACAACGAAAATTAATTAAGAAAGAAAAAAAAGTAAAAACTCATAAAATATCTTTCCTTTAATTCTTGTTTGAGGAAGACAATAAATATCATTATCATATAATATATTTCCAAGAGATTAAAACAAGTTTTACTAAGCTGTTTCTCCTGCGACTCGAGAAAAGTATGAAATAACAAAAAATAAAAATTATTACGCATGTGTATTGATAATTTTGTACATCAAAAAGAACTTCTCTGTTTCGTCTTGTTAAATACTTATTAAAATTTAAATAAAAACTTTGTCTACACAGTATCTTTCATTTCCGTGTTGTATACAACGGCCAGCAAACGATTCGAAAAGGGCGAACTACGACTGTCGTAAGGATTTTTATGTAAAATGTATCGCAAAATTAGTTAAAAATACTATTTTTAAAGGTAATCTTTAACTATAGATAATGAAAAAATTTTGATGATTTTATTTATAATTGTTGATTGAACTATACTCGAATGCATCTCCGAAGCAATTTACTAAAATTGAAATATAATTCATTCTTTTCTTTTTCTTTAACTTCATTGTTTTTATTAATGTTACGTTCCAATTAATTCTTTTTCGTGAACTCTATACATTCGTATTAGAGACCCTAATGAATATACTGTATTCAGAATATCCCGCTACCGGTATGTCACAGGAACTTTTGGATACATCAGTAATTTACGATACTTTATGAGATTTTATCACTTGACTACAAAATGCTTCGAAATATTTAATCTACTAATTTGTTGAAAACTTTTTCATAGAATGTTATAGAAACTGGCCGGTATACTGGTAACATGGTACCTGAAAAAGTACCCAGCTGACAACTGACTCAATACACATATATCTTGAACTCAGTCTATTTACTAGTAGAACTATAGTTTTTATCACAGAATAATTTTCGATTATGCTCTGTCATATATAATTATTGTCTGTTTGTAGCTTTTTTTCGCATTATCATACGAGGACTTTGCGTGGGATTGGCTGTTTTCCAAAATTTTGCCTCATTGTATTTTATCCATCCCATGGGACTTCACGGTCATCAAATATTAAAAAAAAATTCGAACACATTTATCATTTCCATTAATGCTACCAAATTTGACATCATGCATTTTGTGTTTCATAATTTTATCACAATCAAGTTCATATTGCGGCGAGAAAAACATCTATTTCAAAACGCTTTGGTTGTTCTTAATAACAAGAAAGATTATAGTAAAAGATGTTTGTCTCATGGGGCGGGATGAGATGGGATGGGCTTGCTCCATCTCACGTGGAGCTCTCGTACATACTGTAGATATAGTTTTTTCGTGTTGATACCTATAAGCGAATTGTACTTATGAAATAGTAGACTTCATAATGTGATAGAAACATACAAATGGTATTGCATGGAAAATAATACTAGTCGATATATTAAGCTATATAAAGAGAAAAACGGTGTAATTGAGCCATAGACAGTGAAACTATGACTCTGAAACTATTCATTACATTGTTTGACAAAAATAATTTTAAAAGACGCCATTTACTGACGAAAATTGGGTCATTTTAGATCCTTGAAGACAACTGGATTAATTGTTCTGTGCTTCCTTATAATCTTTTTTTTGTCATATTAAGATCTATTAAAATTTAACAATTAAAACGTTTTGATTATCTGTTATGCATCTTCAGCTATACGCTTATGCTATTTGAATTTTTCGAGCCATACAAACGAACTTATCGAAACTATACGAAGAAAAACCAATAAATTCGAAACAGAACATGTAATGAAAAACTATTTACAAAAGTTTTTTATTTATTTAATCAATTAGTACTGTGCGAGTTGAAGTTTTCAATGAACTTCCAAAAGCTTTGTAATATCCATGAAGCATTTATTTATTATTTAATACTTCGCGTAAAGTTATGCATCGTCAGCGATCTGTATATTATTTCATACTTAGGGCATACCAAAACTAATGAAGCTTGAAAGAAAATAAATCTAATAAAAACAAGATAATCCATATTTTATTTGATCATAATTTTTTTTTTCTTAACTTTGGTTATCCAAACATGATTCATTAGATAGTTTGATTACTGATAGGAGTGTCTACTTCCATTTCATCAATCCTGAGATGAAAATCATGACTAATCAAGTAACAAACTTGTTCAATCTCTTCACAAAGTTATTGGGATAATTTTGCAACTGTATTGTAAAATAGAGCTTGATCATCGTCAATAGAATATTATTCAACATGAAAATCAATTACTTCTTGGTATAAAATGTAATATAAATTCAAATGTGGCAATGAAAATTTGTCTTATCGATCCAAAGATAGTGGTGCATAGTTTTCATTTGAATTTTTTATATAGAAGTATCGATTCGATAATGACTATGCAACACATAAATATAGAGAATTATTAGTATCACAAACGTGTATGAATGGAAATTCTTTATTTTCATATAATATAAGTCTCATTACATTTGATACATTTCAACTATGTTATCTTGAAGTATTTTCTAAACTTTAATAGAAAAACATTAAAAACAATCAAAAGTTCTCAATACGCTTCAGATCGAAATGTAGACATAAGCTTTTTAAAAATATATCTCAAAATATTAAGCAAAAGCGTCATTATTAAAACTATCCTTGATTTGAAAAACAATTAGTTTCATTTCAGTAATTAATTGCGTCAATACTCAAAAATCGATGTTTACAAGTTCAAGATATAAGTCAAATACATCTTCAACAATTAATAAAAAAACAAGAAAGATTTATTGCATATTATAACAATAAATTTATGATATATTCATTTATTTTCAAGAAAAAAAAAAACTCGTATTTTTGTTTGATCAGTTTATTTTATAGAAGACAAAAAAGGAGATTAAGTTCATGATAGATTAAAATCTTCGAAAGTTATTATTATTTCCCGATTCATCCATAAGATCCATTTGTGGATCAACTGCACCAATTAATGCTTTTGCAACATAATCTCCAAATGAAAATGGATAATTGTGTCCTCGAGTACGACGTACTTCTTCTCGTTCAGTTTTAAAATCATCAACAACATCAACATTTACCATTGTACGATCCCATTGTGATAAATAAGCTACACTTGATTCATCATCTGTACAAGCAAGAAACGTTACATATGTTGTATTTGCTTGACGTTCATTACGCATTAAATTTTCTAAACTTTGTACATCAACATTTCCACTTGGATCTGTTGGAGCTCCGTCTGTAGCTACAAATACAAGTAAACGTTTATCACTGCCAGGTTTACTTGCTGCTGATTGAAAAATTCGTCTTAAAGCTGCTGTTAGTGGTGTTAATCCACCTGGACGTTGACTAAATGATTCAATAACTTGTCGAGTATCAGTTACATTAGGCATTGATGGACGATTAAGAAAATGTACATCAACTCCATTTGAATCAAAAACAGTACCAATTTCCATAACTATTTGTACAATCGATCGTAATTCATCCCATCGAGTACCTGTTGCACCATCAACTGGTGTATTCATTGAACCTGAATCATCACAAAGTACAACTATTTCGAATTGTTGAAGAATACTAAGACGTTGAGCGAGTGCATCGTTTATTTCATATCGTGCAGCTATTGCTCGAAGACGATCATTTGCTAAATATTTTATTTCAATTTAATATTCTTTTTGTGTCTTAGAAATTAACTTACCAGCTGGTGATCCATATGTATTTGTATTATATCCACCACCTGCAAAGAGCAAAAAAAAACAAAGTAATAAAATACTGATTAAACATGAAGAAGAACAAGAAGAAGAAAAGCACTAGCCTGGTTGCTGATTAGCATAAGGACTTTGATATTGCTGTGGTGGTTGGTTATATGGAGGATAACCACCATAACCACCTGTTAAAAAACAAGTTTTAAGTAAGATTAAAGCATTATTATAAGAAACGTGTGGGACAAATGTGATTCTCACAGAATTGCGTCAATCATAAAGTGTAATATTACCTTGAGGTTGTTGAGGATTGGAACTATAAGGGTTTTGATATGGTTGTTGTGATGGAGCATTTGAACCATAGGGATTTTGATACGACTGTTGTTGTTGAGGATTTGAACCATAAGGATTTTGATATGGTTGTTGTTGTGAAGGATTTTGACCATAAGGATTTTGGTATGGTTGTTGTTGTTGTTGTTGAGGATTTTGACCATAGGGATTTTGATATGGTTGTTGTGGTGGGTAACCACCTAAGAATTAAATAGAATAAGTTTTGAATAAATACTAAAAGAATATTTACCTTGCTGTGGTGGATAGGAACTTGATGATTGATATGGATTTTGATAGCCGGTGTTACCTGAAATAGAAGTTTTGATTTAAATTTTCTTTTTTTCTTTTAACAAATGAGAAACTTCGTTAGTTTTAGATTGAATCAAAAAAGAATATTTATGTTGTAGATGTAAACATTATCGTATATATTTAGCAGAATAATTTCTATCAAAGACTGCTTTAAATAAATCGATTAGGAAATTATTTATTTCCCTTGTGAAAGACTATTTTCGTTTACTTTATTGTGACGGATAAGACTTACGATTAGCAGCAAAGGATGTCCGATAAATTCTGGATCTCAACGAAAATTAGTTTATATTTAAATACAGAGTCATCTCTACCCAACTATATTCATATGAGCTTCGAGTACTTAAGACGATGTTTTATTAAATGATATATTATTTGATAACATTATCTCTTGTAATAATAGTGATATAAACAGAAGAGACGTGAAAATTAAGATGTAGGTACAAAGGATAGCTACAATCATACCCTTGATACTACGATCGCTTTGTATCATTGTGTTACGCTATATACGATGAAATCATAGTTCATTCAAATTTAAAAAAATATTGGTCGATTTGAAAATATTAATTATGTCGTTTTTTTCCTGTTTGTATCACTATTATTAAAAGAGATAGTGTTATCGTACATGTCATTGAAAACATTGTCTTAACTATTCGAAGCTCCTATGGATATAGTTGGGTAGGAAACATCCTTTGTTTACATATAAATTAATTTTCGTTGAGACTTAGAACTTTTATGAGATACCTTTTATTACTGAAAGGTTTTAATTGAATTTGTTTTTAATTAAAGAGAATATGTTTACCTGGTTGTGCTGGATATGGGTTTGATGGAGCATATGGACTTTGATAACCTGAATAAATAATATTTTATATTTTATTTTTTATTTTTTAATAATAGAAAATAAATGTAATGCTATTTGAATTGCGACTGACCTGTTGGACGGGGTGGTTGTTGACCAGGTGGATATCCAGAAGGTGGATTTGAACCTTGATAAGGATTTGGTTGTTGTGGATAGGCACCTTGTTGATAACCAGCACCACCTATAAAAAAAAACATTTAAATAATTTTTTTATGTCTTTTCTTTTTATGAAAAATATTTGTTAACCTTGAGATGGTGTAGGTTGATGGCCAGCTTGTGGAAGAGAATAATTTGAATATTTACCTGCATTTGCTGGTTGGTTAGTTGATGGAAATGGATTATTAAAAGATGATGATGAAGGACCAGTTGGATAAGGAGGTTGTAATGATGCTGAAGAACCTGTTGGATAAGGAGGTTGTGTTGATTGCCCGCCTGGATGTGGCATGTTTTGATTGGATGGTTGAGACATTAAACTAGAGAATCCAACAGGTTGTTGAGAAATTGAATTCGATAATGTTGAAGTAGTTGATGTTGAAGAAGGTGGTGGTGGTGCTGATGGTTGTGTTGTGCCAGAGCTGATGTTCGGATACATTTTTTTTCTTTTTTTATGTCGTGTTGTCTTGCGTTCTATGTCATTCACGATGCATACACAACACTTCAACGCGTTCGCTTTAGCTTATATAATATTTTTTTTCCTTTTGCCTTGAATCAACATACTTCGCTTTGTTTGATAGTGACGTTCGTTTGAGAGAAGAAAAATAGGCAAAGGAAAAGAAAGACGAGAAGAAAAAAAAGCACGTCATGACCGATGATTGGTGGCGAAGTCCAGAGAGAATAATCACAAGACACGTGCTTTGTATGTCGTCAGTCGAAGAAAAAGAAAACAAGAAGATATTTTTAAGTATTATGTTGTCTATGAGAATTATCTGAGAATGGAAAAAACTTCATTGCTTATTCATTATGAGTCAAATTTTTCGTTAGTTCTTATCATGAATTTAGTTGACTAATTTTGTATTATATATTTTACAAGCTTCGATTGACGTCAATGCGATATAATTTCGAATATAATTAAATTTAAAAATCATTGAAGATTTAAAAGATGTTTTTGAATAATGCTGACGATTAATATAAATAAGAAATAGTACACAGTTGAAAATTCAAATGATTTTATATATGACATTATATATATTAAATAACATTAAGGTGATAATGATAAAGACAGAAAAATCGGTAAAATAATAATGAATTTCTAAACGAATACTATCAATTGATGAAAAATATTAATATAAGATTATATATTTGATTAATCCTTTGGTTCCTGAGTTTTTGCAAAGATGATAAAATATGTGAGTTTGCTCATAGAAATCTGAAAACGGGTATAATATAAATCAAAGAAACACAGAGAATTGTATTAGGTTTCAACCAGCACTATGTAATTTAGTATTTGCAGAGTCGAGTTAAAGTTATCCAAAATTGCGTTGCTTCATGAATAACCCTGTGGTTCCCTATTATAATAGAGGTTTAATAAAATGGAACACTTAGTCTTCTATAAGATTAGAACTTGAGCACTAATCGAAAATTTCTGTGGCGACAATGATTTTAGATTTCTACACAATTTTACGGATTTTTCTTTGGTTTCAAAGGGTTTTGAACGATTTTAGATATAGAGAGTCTATGAATTCTTCTATACGTTTAAATCCAAAATTCCTTCTTTTCCACTTGATATACATATACAGTGATATGATTTCGTGATGCTTTGATAGTAACAGCATAATGGAAGAAGAGTCCTGTAATCAAAAGGTTAAACTGATAAGTCAATTCATTCTTTAGGTGCGAAGCATTTTATAGCGATCAGTCGAGTGTTTTTTTTTTCTTTTTCCAATTTCACATCTAAAGTTTATATTTTGTGGCGCGATGACTCAAGAACGGCACACATCGTCTAATGCTCGTTGAAATGTCATTCGGGATCTCTATACGATACAAATTTTATCCGATTTTTGGTATGATGTTTCATTCGTCCAAAGTAAAATATAGATATTATAAATAATCTATAGACTTTGTTTTCCTTATGTCTATATAACGAAGCGAAGCTAAACGTTGATCTTTGCAATGATTAATAATAGCTAGCGCACTAATGATAGCCTATCAATGAATAGTTATTAACATATTTTGTTAAATTAATTAACAAAACTCTATAGAGGGCTACTAGTAATACCGTTTGTCAATTTTGCAGAAAAAAAATAAGAATGGAAAATATCAAAATGCTTTTCTTATCAAAGATTTGCACAAAAACAGAACAAAACATCACAATCTGTAAATGACAATGAATATTTTATATTAATATAAACAAATACAATCTCATTTATTTGCATGAATACAAGAGACAAAGCTTATGTAATACATAGGACGGTAAACTTCAATATTAAAAAAAAAAAAACAGGTAAAATATGACATTGTTTCCCATCGATTTCCTCATGTAAACAAATCGAATAAAGAAGTGTATTTTTTTATAATAATCATAGCAAGGTTACATATAAATTCAATAACTAATTTAAATGATAATAGTAAATTTTCATCAATTCAATAGATGTCAAGAATGATTCAGATGTTATCTGGTTATTAAAGATACAAAGACAACGAATTGAACGTAGAGATGAAAATAAATTATCTTTTATTTCTAAACATCAATGAAGAAGACCAGCATGATTTAGATCTTTGAGAATTATTACATAAAGTGAGTGAATCAAGAAAAAGATTTGAGTTACTATTGACGTTGATTTAGATATTTCTAATTTTTGAAGGAAAAATATATTAATAATATCATAGTTAGTTAGTGCATCGATACAAAGATAAGAGCAGGAAAAAGAATTTAATAAAATATTCAAGTATAAATGAACTTTATAAAATACTTTTGTAAAGTTGATTAATATTAAAATAGCTGAATAGAATAATTCATTGAATACGAATCTAGAAAAATATTTTCTTCTAGTTTCAAACAGCATTTTGAAAAGGAAATAATTTCGAACAAAAGGTTCAACTCAAGTTATTCTACTAGTCTCATTAAGGAAGGCTGTTATGAAAAGCTTTTCTTTTTCTTGATTACGACAGTGACCTTGATACAGAGGACATTTTTAGGCGCCTATAGAACAGAAAAACAAAACTAAAAATCGAAAATCTGTATATTTCGAGTTGGGAACGAAAGTTGTAATGCAGCTGAAATGAAGATTCTTGTTGATTTATGTTAATGGAATTTTTAAAATCAAAATAAGCAGTTAGAATCGAGATTTTGATATATTATAATGAATTGCATACATATGACGAAGGAAGAAAAATGTATCATATACATAAACAAGTATTAAATTATTGTTGTGAAATAATCGTTTCACACAAGATAAGCCGGTCGTCACAATGAGTTTATTCGAAAATATGATTTGAATTTCAATTGTAACGGGCCAAGAATTTTTGAACTGGTTCTGTCCAACTGCTTCGTTGAGTCATTATTACTCGGCTGATGATAATGGCTTCAAAAAACATTCATTTTCCTTTTTTTTTGCGCTTAGACTTTTACAAATCTCCAGAAAGAAGCATCATATTACTGTCGTTTATATCTATTTGATTTCTAAAAGATGAATATGTAATATTTATATATACAGCACCAAAAAAAAACCAGAGTCATTTATCTATCTACTAATTTCTAGACTACAAATCTTGAATTTTCTCATTTAGCCTTTGCAGACAAACCTAAATGTGATCTTCAACAAATTTTATCAGAAAAAAAGACATATCCATGAAATATGTTTCACCCGGTGAACATTGGCCGAATCACGCCGGTTATAATTCCGATGGAAGTCTTTGCTGGTTTTCCATCGTTCAAAATTTGATTTATATATGAAAATCTTATCGAAATGCTGTTTCATAACGTCAATATTTTATTGTAACATTCGGTTTGTTTCAACAAGTTTTTATTCATATTTTATTATGAATATAAAAAAAAACAAGAAATCAATCATCATCATCATCATCATCGTCGTCTTCATCTTTAATACTCGCCATCAAATCATCTTGAAGAACATTCCATCTTACTGGTGTTGTTTTTGTTGTTGATTCAGTCTAAAATGAAATTTTTTTTTTTATTAAAAATTTAATTTCTTCTCGTTCTCAAAATTTATTTACCGTAAGTTGATTCTTTTTCATAATTTTGCAAGAGACTTCATCAGAATCGATTGTCTTTAGCATATCAAGAAATTCTCCTTTATTTATTGTATTTTCTTTTTTCTTTTTTGTTGTTGTTGATGATGATGAATTTTGCTGTTGTTTCCGAACTGTATTAAATAGTTGAACAATACCACGTGTAGATATTCGTTGCAATGATCGTTCATAATCACGACCACGTGTTATATCAAATGGTTCATAATTCATAGCATCCCATTCACGTCTCTTAAAAAACATATTTATTGAAAAAAATGAATTTTATGATATTGAATCGTTTACTCGTCGTTTTTTTGTACGTTCACTAAATGTTGGTTTACGTTCAGTTTCTTCTGATTTCTCCACTACTTTCTTGCTGTTTTTTGCATCGACACGTTCAACTATTTGTCCAGTTTCGCCAACTATTTCAAAAACATTTTTCGGTAATAATTTTTTCGATTGTTTTTTTTTCTTTTTTATTTTAATAGAATTTTCTTCTAGAGTCATCTAGAAAAAAAAAACACCACAAAATTAAACAGAATGCATATTTAATTCAATTCAAAAAAGTCTTTATCGTATAATAGATTAATTTTTCTTTTCAAATTTTAATGAAGTAGAATTAACACAATGACGTTCTTGAACTATTTTTCCATTTGCATCTCGTAATCCTTCTCCTGCGAAGACATGACCTAAAATTGAAAAAGCATTTATAGATTTTTCGAAGGATAGACAAGATTTTCAATTTTATATGACGTATCCTTATTTATACAGGTTTTGGTATCTACTTAGAGAATTTCATGGTATTAGCATGAAAACATCAGCATAGTTTACCCAATCATCAACATACGCATAGAAGTAATACTGTCAGTAAAATAAGGAGTATGCGAAATATTATGCTTCACCAATGAGTAATAACTGCAAGACATCATTAAATTTTCTATTAGTTGCAATTATCCATTACAATCTTTTAAAGATTAGATTAAATCTGAGATTGAATCAATATATTGACTTAAGTTATTTTTACAACATACAGTGACTCCCACAAAATCATTTGATTCTGCTGTCGTAAATAGTAGCAAAAATTCACATAATGATTTTTGTACAAAGTGCCATTTCCAAAACAAACTTGTTGAAAATAGAAAATAGTTGCTAGTTTTTCGAGGATGAGGTTTCTGAAAACCAAAAATCAAGCTATTCAACTCCTAGAACTTACTAATAGAATTCTGTTTGAAATGCTTAGAATGACACGTTTTCTGACTCTCTATGATATCTTTTGATCGAGATACATCAACCTGCCAGAAGAAATAACCATTGTTTCCATATGAAATAATTAAAAAAAATTGCGTTTTGTACTTTCTGTAAGGTTGGCATATCTCGGTTAGTGCTCAGTAGGACCGATTGGCTTTGATCCTGATCTTAGTTTTGTGTGTAGTAATATATATACTCGCAAAAAATGCGATGTCATTTTCTAGCAGTATCAATAAGCTCGAGACATCTTGCATGACCCATATAACCTCTAATATCTCATCTATTCTGTCCGTTTATGTGTTCGACAACTCGGTTGTTTACGAAAAAAAGAATTAATTTCACTATGATAATTGTGACAGTAAATATTGGAGTGATCGTTAATCACTAATTTTTGCATAAACTTTTAGAACACATAAGTCGCGAGACTATGATATTTGAGGTAAATTTTTACACAAACATAAAGAATATATCGCTCCGAATGAGAAAGTGTTTCTCTTGATTTCAATAAAAACTAATTTGGTTCCAGGATCGAGATCATCTTGCTCATACCTAATCTCGGTTGAAACTATCATTTTGAAAAATTCAAACAGAATTTTATTAGAAAATGTTAGTGATGAAAAAACTTAGTTTTGAGTTTTTCAGAGACCCTATTCTCGGAAAACTCGCAATCTTTTGTTTTTTCGAAAATTCTTTTCGAATATTCAAAGAAATATTTTGACGTTTTTAGTATTTACCGCAGCTGGAAAAAAACTTGATCGAATAATTTCGAGAGCCACTGTATATTTTGATCAGATCAACTAAAGCGTATGTTCACTTTCGCCAAATAATAAATTATTTCATTTATTAAATTTTTCAAGCTTAGAATATGCAATTGAAGAGGATTACATATTCTGTTGCGCAAGATTATTATTCTATTTATTATAGTACGAGTAATCGGGTGATACGAACCTAAATGACCATCACATTTAGCACATAAAATTTCTTCACGATAACCATCTTCATCTTTTTGACGTCTAACTGATGTGGCTAATGATGAACTAAATGCTGGCCAACCACAATGAGAATCAAATTTTGACGATGACCTAAACAAAAAAAAAGGAATCTTTCTAATTAACAAGTAATATGAAATTATTTTTGGATAAAACATTTGTTTAATATTTAATCTGTTTGAATGTAATATAGAAGAGTAAAAAACTGTACATTAAAACTAGAGTTTCCCTGTCTTTCTGAATACAACTGAAGAAATATGATACTCTTTTTGTTAATTCGTACAAATTCTTCTCTAAGGCTACTAAAATTATCGAACTTGGTGATTTCGTAGAATTGTTTTTTTTCTTTGCAAAGTATGTTATCGAATTAAATTATAACTTTTATTCAAGTGAAATTAAATGTATTTTCTCGAAAGCTATCTTGCGCTCAGGGTCCTAACACGATACCTGATTTTTCGGAAATATTTTATCTTTTATTTGTTACTTTAGTTTTTAACAAACTACCAACGATAAAATGGTTATGAATTGTGTTTTTAGTGAATATTTCATGATTATTCTCATAACGCATTTCAAAATTCTGTAAGAAGCTTCATTGTAACCGATTACTTATTCTTTCTATCTATTTGAAACAGTATGTGAATCTGTCGTGCCCATTTTTTAAATTAAGCTTTTTTATTATTATATAAAAAAGCACTTCTATACATAAATGATCATTTTTCAATTTATTGAAATTGTCATCCTTTTTCTCTGCATAAAAAGTGAGAATTTAAAAAGGAGACGTCTGAAGTCTAACACTCTCTCAACCAAAATTTCAATGTTTAATTTTGAAACCTAAGAGTAAAAGAAATAGCTAACCAATTTTTGAGTTAATATTTGAATAGAATACAAAATTTTAATTTCAACATATAGCTTTTCATGCTTCTAGATTACTTTCAAAAGAATTCAAAATTAATTTCACATATTAAAACTTACTCATAAAGTTCTTGTCCACAACCAGCACATTTATATATTCCCGTTTCAAAATGTTTATTATATTTACCTGTACCCGAATATTCTGTTTCTTTTTTACGTAATATACGATATTCTTCATCTGATAATTTTTTTTTCCATTCAGCATCAGATAGATTAACTGTTGGTATTTTTTGTTCTTGTTGATTACCTGACGACGATGACATACTTAATCTAAAATTAAATGAATAAATACAATGAAAATTAATATAAAATAATCGAATAATAAAATTTTGAAATTATAGAAAAATTGAATAGACTTATTTCAATTATTCGTATTGTTAAATATATGTCCAAAGTATAGTCCATGCAGGCAATCCTACAATGAAAAATAAATACATTCAAATGAAATACAGATAATCAAGTGAAAGAAAAAGAATAACTCTAAATATTTGTATTGTCCACAAATGTCTTGATTCTTTATCTATATTAAGCTTTTGACAAATATGTCGAGTAATTATTGCTTCATAACCATGAGCAATAATTGTAATTCGAAAACTAAAGATTAGAACTATACGCAAAACTATGATACTAAATACGATAATAAATTACCGAGTACACTCAAATGGTATGATATAAGGATAATGTGCTATCAAGAATAAAATAACCCATACTCTGAGAATAAGAATCCATTAACTGCTAGGAATTGTTTACTTATTTAAAATAGAATTTATAAAAACTCGATTTGAAATTTTATTCATTTTTATTCTAATCCTGAAAAAGTATATTGGATAGCTGAAATCAAGGACAATGATCATTACGAAATGTCATCCTCTTCATTTGATTATTAGGATAGATTTTATATAAACTATTATAAGTAAGCGGAAATGCGACATATTTCTTGATCTATACGCTTCTCTTTGGTTTCTGATATTAATGGAGATACATATAGAAGAAAAACCATGCACGATACCGATGAAGAAAGGTCTTCAGTGATAAACTGTTTTCGAGCTGAAACTATATTCAATCGCTAGGGCTTCGTGAATAGGTAAATACTCTAGGATGATTTGAGCTGCTGAGATATCGACTTTTTAATGAATTTTGATCTGAAATTTTGCTCACATAAAGGTACTGATTAGACTAGTTTGTAAAAAAAATTCAGACTTTTGATTGAGTATCTCTCTAAGGAATGAATCTTTGAAATTATCAATATTTTTTTTACATTAATCACGTCAAAGCGCTAATATTTTAAAAATTTATATGTTGGAGAAACTTAGTGAAAAAATTCTGAAATATTTTTTTACAAATTAGTTTAATCGATGTTTTTGTGGGTGGGTCAAGTTTCAGATCAAAATTGAAAAGTATAATGCCGCTTGAAAACTATAATCTCACAAGAAAGATCCACTAATAATTCGATATGAAACATTTTCTTACAAAATTTCCAGGCGGAGAAGTTACAAAGACTTTGAATCTCCAGTCAAGTTACCAATCTTGCTTTGAACCTTTATTTTACCTTAAGTAATTCTCAAATCACACAGAAAATAATAATAGTATTACTTGATACTGACAACAATCGAAAAACCTATTATCGGTTCAGATTTCAATCTAAACTACTCTGAAACTTTTCTAATAACTCAATTAAAGGCTGATAACATGATAATAAACACTTCATTTTATAGACAACATTTTCTCAATTATCATCTATATTCGTAATATACTTTCACAAAATCTAATTATCTTCGATTCAGCACAAAAACAAGATAAATTTACTTGAATAAAAAATTCTTTTGTATTAAAGAACTGCCACAAACTATTATTTACCCATTATGATTGTCGTCGTTTTTTTGCTGCATATTGTCTCAATTTACCCAACGAAACATAACCTAATAATAATGTTTGCATGAACCATCGACATGTATTAGTGCAATCAATATGTATTTTTTTACATATACGTAGAGCGAGTATTGCTTCGAAAATATGTAAAAAAATGGCAATCCAAAAAATGAATACAAGTAAATAATGATGATTATTTGCTAAGTTTTTTGTAAATTGACCCCACACACCAAAATATTCATATGGCATTAAATGTGGCCAAAATGCAAGAATAGCTAATTTTAAAAGACCTCCATCACAAGCTATATACCATAAAGGATTTGCTGCTTGAAAGAAATTATCAGTCATCTTAAATAAAAGTTCTTAATCATAATAACAAAACAAGAGCAACAACTATAATTAGAAAACAAAAACAAAAACAAATCCTGTTGTACTTTGTTTCGAAACAAAAAAAAACAAAGTTCGAAGGTAATAGTAAGAACAGGGAAGATAATGTCGGCCTCGAAGACCGAAAATAAAGACCTACATATACATTTTCTAAAATATATGTAGATCACTTGGAATCCAATTTAATTCATCGAACACGATCCGTATTACGATAACTGCAATTATCACGTAATGAATCATTATGTGTCTTGTATTCTATTGGACCTAAAATGAAATCGATTCATAATAATTCAATGAAGAGTAAAAGAATTATTTTCTGATGGCTACACGCTTCTAATGCATCATGTAAATTCACAGTAGCTGCCTTGAATACGAAACTGAGTCAATAATATTTAAGTTTTCTTTTCTCGTACTTTGACATTCTCAATGAAATTTTCTAATCGGAATTGAATAGTCACTGCGAAGATACGAGATACTTTTTTTTCCAGCTTTTGGTATTTGAAGACTCGTTCACCACCCAATACACTTCTTAAACGACTGGAGCCAATCAGGTCAAGAATTTGGACACTCGGATCTAGAACTAATTCGGCAGGTTCTAGTCACAAGAATATCGTTTTATTCTGTTTTTGGACACATCCCTTCGCCATTCTGTTACTTAATTCTCCAGAAATGCAGTAAGGAATCAGTTCATATATTATAACGAGACCTGATTCATATAATGTGTGTGATCATATATCAACGTCTGCCCACACAGTGCAGGTTCAAATTTTCACCCCTATACTTCAACATGCCTTTTAGATCATGTTCCACAATAAATGCTCCGACCAAGTTGAACATTAAGAATCTTCATGTCAATTTATATCAGTTGTTTCTATATAAAAAATAACTATTTTCCATGTACAAGAACAATATGGATGGTAAAGAAAAAAATATAACTAAAAAAAGACATTGACTTGAGAAGTGCAACTTTCGTGATATAAAATTTTTCAAAAAAATTCTACAGAAACTCGACTAATTTCGCAGGAAATTTTCAACTTTTTACCAAAAATACTCATGTTTCATAAAATCAGCAGGAATTTTACATAACTAAGATGAATCGATACTAACTTTTTATATCTGCATTATTGAGAGAACACAGTTTTATGCATACTCGATGATAAATACTTGTTATGCTACTTTACAACATAAAAATATTCCACGATCAAGAGTAGAAATAGGACATGCCGTCTGGCTAATCGTAATGTTGGCGCTTAACGAAGTACTATTAAATACTTAGGAAACAAGAATACCTGAAATAATTTCTATCGAATCTACTTACAATCTTGTGGTAAACTAAGTACTTTTTTCATTGTTTCTTTAATTCTTTGTGTAACTAATTGATTATTAGCAGTTTTCGTCCATACACTAATAAGATCTTCTTGTGGTCGAATTGAACAAACAATTCCACATATTTCTTTTCCAACATTAAATTGTTCACCAATAACAGCCAAAACAAGTAATTCCCATAGACGTGTAGATAAACCTTTTTTTAATCGTAATATCCATTTACCACCAAGACGATTTCCTTCTTCTTCCCACATTGGTTTTAAATTTTCTTTAAACAAATGAATATCACTAAAATAAGAAGAAAGTGAAAAATGATGTTCATCGAACAAAAGAATTTTCGTCTATCAAACCTATAAAATGGAAGTTCAGAAGGAAATTTCATATGATCATAATAAAACCAAAATTCTTCAATAGAACCGAATGTACCTTTAAATAAGAAAAATAATAAACTTATGTAAAAAAGCAAATGAATAAAATAAACGAACCAAGTTTTTTTAAACAAGAATCATAATTAACTGCAGTATTGCGAAATGTAGTTGGTCGATGTGTATACCAAAATGTCCATCGGCCTTCGAGTAAATGAAATAGACTATCTTTATTGTTAAAATTATTTTCATCATTTGTTAATGAGGAATTTTCTATTTTATCATTTGTTTCCGATGTAATTTCTTCGTCATTTATTGGATTTGTTGACATTTTTTATGCCAAATTTCAATAGTAAATAGTAGGCTGTACAAAATAATAGATAAAATCAACAAGGAAAGTCTTTGTATCTACTCAGTATGGATTAAAACGAGAAAAAAAAGAAGAGTAAAGTAAAAATTGAACATATTCTATTGGTGAAACAATTTATACCATTCATAAGATGATAATTATACTGCTATCTGTTGGCGCCATCTGTCGAATATATTCATCGAAGGTTAATAAAATCATGACAGACTTCATGTAGAAGTAAAACAAAAAGCAAAAAGATGATAAAAATTTTATTATTATGTAAAATAATGGACTTTTGCGATATTTAAATAGCTTTCAAATAAAACTAGAGTCCTCGAAGCACAGGGATTTCGACGCTAATAATTGAATAGTTTGTACGTAGGAAATATTACAACTATACGTTATAAACATGAATGGTGCATATATCAGAAAACTTTATGTCTATTGTCGACTATGCCTTCAAGATATTTAATTTTCATCTCCAATGAAATTCAATAAAATATACAATGTATCGAAGATATAGACAAAACATAATTCAACCTCTGTCAAACAATTTGTTATTATAGTAAATTTTAAAAAAATCAAAAGTACATTTTATTCTTTTCTTTTTGATAATATAATCATAGTTTACTCAAATATATAACAATTTGCATGAAATAATAATCACTAAATGACCACCCAACATGATAAGGATTGCTTGGATACGGGTCTAGAGTTCCATTAGTAAGTAACTTAGATAATTTAGAGTCTTTGTTATCATTTATGAAATGTTTTGGACTGAGTAATTGCTCTATGATTAGTTGAGAACTATAAAAGAATCAGGCTTTCATGTCAAGATCAGTGTGACATAGTGAAATAATTCTATAAGACTACTAACTGATATTACGACGACCCATGTAGCTAATGGCTTATAAACTATTGTTGAATTGTGAGAGGCGTCAAAATAACGCAGATTATCAAATACATACTATTTGGCAAACACGAAAGAAAATAATTTGCTACAATAATGACTTTAATCAAGAAAAGTTAATATCAAGTGCATCGATAAACTATAATAAATTTATTACTGATCAAACTTGACCATGAGATCCTGTTGAGAAATAATCACAGTATGCAAAAAAAAAATAATATTAGAAAACATTTCAAAAGAGTTTCTCATTAGCTTTGTACAGTATACTTTCGAATAAAACTCTCTTTAGTTTCATTATGTTCAAAAAGAAATGAAAACTATTAGTATTCAATCGAGAATGTTCATGATTAGCTTGAGTGTCATGTTACTCTACTATGCCATATCATAGTTGATTATTGGTTTGTTTATTAGGTTCGAATAATATTTCTAAAGCTATTAAATTATTACTAACAAATAAAGCCACTATTTGCTATTCCATAAACATGTACATCGAACACAATAGGTGAATATCGCTTTAGCTGAGTGTCAGTGGAGGAGTGAGAGTATTTATTTAATCTTACATTCTTGCACCCACACCATCCTCTAGTTTGTTCGGTGTATATAGTAAGAACAAAGATAAAATAATAGAACATAGTAATACTTCGGTGATGATTCGTTTATTCATCGTATATCGAGTAAATCTTGGACATTCAAAATCAATGGAAGAAAAAAAAAAGGAAAATGTTCGAATGTGAAATCGAATTAGGAATGTAACGATGGAGACAGAATGCGCCTCTCCGACTTTTAGAAAATTTCCAGTTTTCCCAGCCAAAATCGTTTTTTTTCATTTAGAAAAAAAAGATCATAAATTAAAAAAAGAAGGCTCAACATTTCGCAGTTTTTAAAAATTGTATATGAATATTGTCATCTTCAAAAAATTTCTTTACATCCCCACTTTTTTTTCTTCGTCACATCCCTGAATCGAATCGAATTATTGATGCATTCTCTATTTAGTAGTTTTCTCTATCATTACTGAGCTACTCGAACGCGTTCATCTAGGTGTCTTGGTACATCAAGATTAAGATGACTTCTCCATAAAATACTACTAAAGCATAGTTTCTTGTCAAAGAAAGAGAAAAAATAACTAAGGCTAAGTAGACGTTGTAATTTTTTTCTGGATGGATCGACGAAACAGAACGATGATAGGATCGATTTGTTTTTCTTCTTTCTCGCAATAACGTAAGCAAGGAAAATATAGAGCACATCGTCACGAGGAACAACAACTTTTCGTACTCAATGCACAAGCTATGACCTATCGTTCACTATAGCAGAGACAAATAAAAACAACGAATTTTATTGAGCGTACAACTTTTTTTAATATATTTATTCTTTTAATAACGACTCTATGAATCCAACACTGACAGACATTGAATCGATGGAACCACTTCAAGAGAAGCCTGATGAAATAAAAGTAAACACACCCTCGTGCATTACATTTTTCATGTAAGCAGTAACAGTCATTGTCAATATATATACTCTGATATTTTCTTTTGTTCATTAAGTTTTATATTAATTCTTTCCATTATACCATTAGTTGCAATAACTATTGGTATTCATTATCAAAGTAAATGCCCAATCAATAGGTTTATTCCTATTTGTTTAATTGTTTTGGGTTCATCAAGTTTGGGTCTAGTTCTTTTTTCTGACTTGTTCTTCTTGTAAGTATTTATTTCATCTCGCTAGAATTAATTATTTTCTTTTAACAAATTCATGTTGTATTATCGTATTGAATAGAAATCTTGCGTTATCAAAATTTCCTGGTGATTCAAATTCAACACGTATAAGTAAATGTCGATATTGGACAATTACTTGCACTATTTTTATAATCATGATCATACTTATCCTTTGCATATTTGTTTTTAACGGTATCTTCTTGGCGATAAGACGTGATGTAAAAAAAAAGATTCAATTCAATAATTCAACAGAAAGACAAACATATTGCCATCCAGTTGCATATTATGGAATTGCAACGTTTACGATCAGTATATTGTTATTATCAAGTGCCTGCTGTATACTATTGCGCATGAGGGCATAGTTAAAGTCATGATTATCATATATTTACTATTGCGTGTATATTGAAATAGAAGATTTCAATTTGTGAGCTGTTTATAATAATGATCATCGAACATTATACATCTTTGGTTAGATAATTTGTTGTTTGTTGTGTGTTCGTATATATTGGTATGTCTTCTATACTCTTATGCTATATATCTCATGTTTGGTTCTTTCTTTCATCTCTTCTCTTTCTATTCATCGCTTTAGAATAAGAAGAACATCATCGATTTGTCATTTATGTTTTAGAATAAAAAGATTGATCTGCCAATGAAAAGAGTGATGAGAGAGTTATTAACATTGATGTTTGGTTAATATGCCAGACATATACTAATATCGAAGCCAAGCCGAAACATTTGACGTTCAAATTTTTTTAGAGAAACGACAGATTAGGTCAAAAATCAAACCAGACACCTTGTATGCTACTCAAATCACTTAACACAGGTAGCTAAAATACTGGCACTAACAAATGAATCCATCCTTGATTTGTCACCTATAAATAACGCATTCAATCACGTTTTTCATTCATTCCAATAATTTTTTTACTTGTCTGATATTATTAGAAACGCAATTTTTAATTTTAAAATGAACTACTTACTTATAATCAAAGTTGATCTCTGATTTGATTTTTTTCTTGTTCTGTGTGATTGATGTTATAAATGAAAGGAGAGAGCTGATTAATGAAACGAAATAGTTCGACAATTTCATATATAAGGTGATGTAAGTCAGGAATCAACTTGTATGAAAGTGTGAGATTGAATAAATATTCATTCTCTCGCCTATCCTACACTTATATCGAAATCGAATATTAAAATCCATATAAGGAGAGAGTCAAACAATTATTTCCTGCCTAAGAAAAGAACTCCTCGAAATGTACATTCGACAGACATTTACACCATATGATTTCCAAAAATCTGGTGATATCGAAAACCGCTTTCGAAAACGAATGAAAACACAAAGTTAATGGAATGACTCATCTCTGTGTTCTCTAAAAAATTAAGCCATCAACATATAAAAGTATTATCAAAGCATTCGTATTCTCCTTTCTAGAGGTAACTCCTCGTGTTTCTATTGAGGGACTCGCCTATTGACACAATATTTTTCTTTCTGTCCATCTGTACGTAAACGCTTGCATGCTATCAGCACGAGTCGCTGAGGTCAATCAAAATACAAAATAAAAAAAAAACCTTCAAATAGTGTAGTTACTCGTTAGTCGTCGATTATAATCACAAATTCGAGAAGATTTCACGTCGTGTAAAATTCTTTCGACATATGAACTCGACCGTTTGGGCAAGTTCCGTTGCGCAAACGGTGTTAGGAAAACGATGAGTCATGTTGCATATTTTACTGGTAGCTGCGCGTCAACAAACCGTCGAATATCGATGCAATCAGAGTTCGTATTCGAAAAATGGAATATTTATCTTTTCACTCTTTTATTTCGTTCTACTATTCAATGCATAATTGTCGGATAGGGATGAGCATTTCCATTTGTTGCTATTTCGAAAAACATTGTGCTTCCGATGGCCAAAGTGGATTCGTTCTCATCAATGATTTTTTTTAGACTCACGTATATTTTCGAAGAAAATAGTGAGTATAAGTTTGAAGTCGACGTTTTTCGGCTTCTTTCATCCCCATTAAAGACTTTAGCAATCGGGAATAGCAGATAACAGACTTTCTAGAGTTTTTTCGCACAATAGATGATGTTATCATCTTGAAAAATAATGCATATCATTGTTTGTGAGCTGATTAACATATAAAAGTGCGTAAGATCTGCTGTGGATATCATGAATATGTAAAACAGACTTATTTACCAATTAATTCAATGATTGTAATAGTAAGAATGTTAAATTAAGAGAAAAGAATTTTAAAAAAATGAAAAATAATGAGTGAATAGCAACAATGTAAACAAAAAATAGGACACCCACAGCAAAAATAAAGAGTTTCTATTCAAATGTAGAAATTAGAGAGATCCTTACTCTGATATTTGGTTATCCTGCAAAACAATTATAGTATAGGAGAGATTTTTCACTTTACGCGTTTGATGTTAGTTTATTGAGACTAGAGAACATATGTGAGTTCCATATTTCAACTCCAAATAGGTTGCACTAACAAGCTTTTTTAATTGTTTTGAAGATGCTTGTCTAGAATGAGTCGTTGAAAATAGCTTCAATCTCAGAAGTACCAGTCCTTGAAAATACGTTTTAAATTGGTCAATCATGTCGAACTGCTAAAAAATACTTGTAACATACGTTTTAAGACTCTTATAAGTCTAAAAATCAAGTTATTTTAAGCTAACTTACGGCGTTAAATTTTCACATGGGTTAGTTGGCATTTGTTCTTCAGGATGAACGGCAATGTAGACGTACATCTGAATATGAGTCTTGTTTTCTACACGTGTACATCCTAATGTTATAGGAAATTGAATGCTACATTTTGTCTAATCAATAGACAAAACTGATCTCTCAAGTGCTTCTATGAGGTATGATTTACTTATTTTCATTAATTTTCATTACTGTGTAGGTATGCATATCATTCATGATTAAGATCAAGCAAAGTTAAGGATTCACATCTTGAAATATTTCTAATTCTAGATACTTCATAAAACTGTATGCAATTTAAATCGAATATCTTTAGCAATAATGCAAAGTTTGTGTCGCTCGACATCTTTTCTTTCAGCGAGAAACCATCATTTTCAGTCAATTAAGTCTTCGAGAGAATATCGATCATTAAAGACCAATGCGAACAATACAAACATTTCTCAAAATACTAAAGAATATTCAGAAGGTTTTGTGGGCTCAACTGACGTGTTAGGAGGTAAGAAAAAGGCTTCTTTCTGGTGAACATCTTGCACTTACGTTTTCTTACTCTCAAGATCAAACGGAGCGGTATTACAAACCCATAACGGATCTTGTTCGTAACCAAAGTGCTCGAATTCTTGGCTCCTTCATCAATAGACAACCCCGTCGCATTGATACACATCATCATATCGTTCCCGAGTTTTATGCTCAAGCTGTACAAGAAACTGGTGGAGATCCATCAGGCTGGCCAACTCCAAAATGGTATCCTCAGCTAGCAAAACGAAGTATGTCTCTTTTGGGTGTTGAACTTGCGATTGTTTCAATCACAGCACCTGGTACCAAGATTTATGAAGGCAATAAGGAAAAGGGTAGAGTTCTAGCTAGAAAACTGAATGAATATTCAGCCGATTTGGTAAAGAACAATACCGGAAAGTTTGGATTTTTCGCTTCACTACCATCATTGATCGATGTTGAAGGTACTATTGCTGAAATAGACTACGCTCATTCAATTCTCAAAGCTGATGGATTCACATTATTTACGAGTTATGATCACGGCAAGTATCTCGGTCATTCTTTGTTTCAACCAATCTGGGCTAAATTAAGCGAAATAAATCCCGTTGTTTTTATTCACCCAAGTGAAGCACCTACTACAAAAGTCAACTGTTACATGCCACAACCACTCGTCGATTATCCTCATGAAACAACTCGAACAGTTGCAGATCTTGTTCTCAGCGGTACACGTGCTGCATTCCCCAACATCAATATCATCTTATCTCATGCAGGTGGCACGCTTCCATTTCTTGCCCAACGTATAGCAGGCGCAGGATTTATTCGATCTTTGAGCTGCCCTCGAGGACCTCGACAAATTTTATCCGATTTACGTTCCTTCTACTTTGACACAGCTTTGTCATCGAGTGTTCCCCAACTCAAAGCGCTCCTGGAATTTGCTGATCATTCCAAAATTGTATTTGGAAGTGATATTCCATATGCTTCACTTCCAGTATCCCTTTATATGACCAAATGTCTCGATGCTTTTTTCAACAAGAATTACAACACGACCAAGAGAAAGGACTTGTGGCATAACATCAATCGAAATAATGCCAAAGCTTTATTTCCTCATAAGATTAAAGATTGATTGAATAATATATTGTTTTTTTGACTAATTTTTCTCTCCCATGTTTATGCTCGAATCGTTTAGTCAAATCTTAAATTTTCTTTCTTCCAACGTCGCTCAACATCAAATAGACATCGGTGAATTGTTTATTGCATAGAATTTTATAATGCTCACTGTTGGCGTGTAGAATGAAGTCAGTAAATTTAGAACAGTTGCATTAAGAATAACTAGTAGTCATGGCGACGAATTGATCTCCGAAAATGTCTCTCATTCATTAGCATGATCAACATGGTTTCTTGACTACTCGTCGAGCTTCAATTTCTTACTTAACATCGAGCAAATGTCTCGTTGAATGTAGTGTTTAGTTCGATATTTATACCAAATGAGTGATTGCTAATGATATCTTCAAAAGATTGGTCTTCAGCAGCTGATTCATGTGGATGCGTGAGTGAGCAGAAAAGAGCCACCCACACTAACTTCTTATCGATACAACAAACGTGTAAGATGATTTGAATTGACACTTTTTCTATTAGGTGAATGAAATTTATATAAATTCGTTCATATGAATTTACCTGAATCGTTACCTGGTGTTTCAATTCTACAAACGGTTGTGGAAGAAAACTAATAAGAAATGTCGAAGAAAATTTTCAATATACATAGGTAGTACTATATCTCGTTTCGAAACTGCTCGAATACTGTTTCTGTATGAAATACTTCACGGTGATGATCTACAAAATTGTTTTCAACTCATGTTCCAATAGTTTCATGGGGTTCTCACCACCTTTATTTAGTAGATCTTCACAAATCAAATTCCATTCAACCGATCGCTTTTGGCTATTTGAAAGTTCGCTTATCGCAAACTCTCAATCCACCCTTCCGAATACTCACGTGGTTTTCCTGTTATGTTCTTAGATTATTTGTTTAGTGTCTTATTTGCTTGCTACAGATTGTACTGGCAGTCGATACCCACTACACAATGTCGTCTTGAGATATATATCAATTTTCGAGAAATTTCAAGCAATACGTATTCGCGTTCTTTGGCACTCTGCAAATTGCAATTCGACAAACTACTTACTAAGCATTGTGATCTACACTGTTCTAAATTTAGAAATATAGCAAATCCATAAACTAATTTTCAACCCATCTAGTTATATTGTGCGAAAAAATTATAAATATCATGAATATACAAACGCTGCTAAAGATGACCTTTTTGCTCAACTCAGTTTCAACAGAAAACAGAAGATTTCAATAAAAAAAATCAAGACCATCAAAATAATCTAATTTCAGCTCTTTCTTCTTAATGAAGCATCCCTTGTTTCAGCTGAAGATTGTTCCGAGATGACTTTTATTATTTCTTGGGGGATATCGCTATTATATTAAAAGATCACACGATAATTCTTAAACATGCTTTTGCATTGAATGGAACATAGTTTATCGCAAAAGATTTCGTTGAAGAAATGAAATACGAAAGATTTGGATTGGATCATTCCATTTTCTAAACGTGTCGATCATTATTTCGTGGCACCTCCTAAGTATCTTGAGGGTGAAGATGAATAGAGACAGCACAGTGTAGAGTCGTCGCATCGTATTCGTAAATCCAGATTCTTAGCAGCAGAACTATTTCGTTTCGATATCCGTAGAACGTTTTATCTCAGATTTGATGCTGTTTTGTCAGTGATTCAATATTGCATACACGAGACACATATCACAAAAATTGACGGAAGTAACAATATTCCACACGAAATAATACGATATTCACATCTTTGATGATATCGTTAATTACTGTTAAAAAGTGAGCAGTGATCAAAATTCAGTAGAAAGAGGTTTTAATGAGAACTCTGACGGATAGAAAGAAACTGATACGAACATAATCAATGCTAACGGAATTTTTATTTGATACTAGATATTTTATATGATTACTTAACAAAGAAGGAGCTAACACTATTGAAATCGGATGTGAACATAAGATATGAATGGCTGGTTAAATTGCTAGGATGTGGAGAATGGGATTGATACACTTTATGTCATGAACATCCACAGTAAATATGAAGTTTTTACAATTTAATATTTGAAAAATTTTCTGCAACATCCTTTTGCCATGCGGAAATAAACTTGTCTTTAATATCAGGTGCAATTCGAAAAGCAATTTCGGCGCCATTACGATCTCTTGGTAACCATTCACTACCGTCTTTCATCGGATTTAGATGAAATACACGAAAATATAATCGACCAGTCCATGGTGTATAGAAACAACATTTATCCGTGTAGCCAAAATCAACGAGAAGAGCCCAATCGAAACGAAAATTCGAGTTGACGGTTATATCATTAGGAAATGGTCCTAAATTAGGCATAGAATTTTGCCGTACTATTTTTCTTAATAATCCATCAGCAGTTGCTACACATGATTCGAGGAATTTTGGATCGCGTGTTCGAATAATCGATCGACGAATCGTTTTGGCAATACTTGAAAAAGATAATGGATCATCGAAATTTTCAGATGCCACGAAGATAACAGCATTTGAAACAAGTCCAACTGGAGCAATTGAGTCAGATACACCACGAAAGTTGATCGCTGTATTGGTCCGTAAAATTAGACGTTCATTATCGTTTATGAAACAATGAGTATTTAGTCGCAGAACGATGTACGATGTAAGAGCGTCTTGTATAGTCACTGAATTACCACCAGCTAATTCACGTAATCTAGAAAGTTGTTTGCTTGAAAAATGTAAATTAAGTTGTTCATGTGTCTCTTCTCTGGTCAAGAACAATTGAATCATTTCTTTAAATGGTTTAGCATTACTTAATTCCTTCAAGAATGGCACTAGTGATTGGTCGGCTTCTTCTTCTCGCCATAAGCGTCTCTCAAAAATCGGCAACGGTTTCATTGGTTCTAGTTGTTGATATAAACGTGAAAGTGTAATTAGAAAATTTAAATTCGATTCAGCATCACCCAGAACATGTGCCCAACTTGTACCTAAAACCCATTCACCACTTTGTACAATGCATGTTAATTTTAAATGTAACAATGGTTCTTCATTAGAACTCTGCATTAATTTCATAGTTTGTACTCCATCAATAAATGGTATAAGTGATGTTTGAATGATATCAACAACAACGTTGTTGTTGAGAGGCCATTTTTCTAGTTCGGTATTTTCAGTATATGCAACTGGAATGCCGTTGTCCGACATTTCAATAAAATAGTGACCGTCGTTCAGCACAAGAAAACGGCCAGCGACTAAAGACCACAAAGAAAGAGCATGACTGAGTGCATCTTTAAATCGATCAATATCCAATTCGGCTGGATAGACAAAAATATTGTCAATACGTGGAATGATCGACAAATCGAGACCAGCAAGTTCGATACGACGATTATTGCCTGTTGGCGATGATGGAAAAACAAGCCAAGACGTCATGTTTTAATCTATCATGAAAATATAATCATCAGCAAAGATATACCCAAGTTGATTTCAGGTGTAAATGTAGATGTGGAGAAATTTAAGGATACTTCACCTCTCTTTTTTGGTCATTTCTAGCTCTCGAAGAGGATACAATCGATTCGCATGAAATTTTGACCACAGATAGAGCACCAAAAATAAGCAGACACATATTCAAGGAAAAACTTTTAAGCAAGGTCCTTATTGTTTTTTTCGGGCCACCGGTTTTATATGAGACCACGCTGGGCCTGCTCATGGCTACCGTATTATATTGTTCGATCGGGCTGAACATTTTTTAAAATATTTTAGACTATATATCAGAGGTAATTTTAAGCTTCTTTCAAAAAAATCTCGTCTTCTTTTCGTTTTATGAAAGAAATATGTAAATATTCAGATCTAAAGCTGGGTTGTTGCCATTCAGATTCTATAGATCTGGATAGAAAGATCAAAAATGAAAATGGCAAATATCACCTCTAGAGGATACTTCTAAGTATCTGTAGTTCAAATTTCAGCGCGTTGGAACAAAGTTAGAAGCGAGTCATAAGCAGAGCCTATGTGATCCTATACAAAACAAGAGCCTCCCAAAGACACTGCGAAAATCTTGTTCAAAATTGCTTTCCTCGAAAATGTATCTCTTTATTTTAGGTGATCTATCTGTTGTAAAAATTTCATACGAATTGGTTGTATCCTCTTCAAGAATCAGAAATGGCCGAAAAGTTGAGAAGGAATATCCTTAACACCTACACATATCGCGGTCACTTTCCAATCTCTCAACGTATTCAATAAGAATTCTGAACGACGCTTCTTTATATCTATTACAATTGTGAAAGAACATGATTATCTAACACTACCTTTGTCTATATGACTGTAACAACAAACTAAAGAAGCACACACTAAAATAAAATGTGTCGTATATATGTGTCGTACAAGAATGTGTCGCAGACCCCATTATAAAAATGTGTCGCATTATAGATGTGTCATAGCCTATATGTCAATCGTTCATTCACCGTTTTGTTTCGCGAGTGCAGCTGCATATAACCGAGCCTATTGGACGTACTTGACTTATACATTTTCGTATGCCTTTTTTTTCTAGATTATTTCTCGACCATTTATTATTCGAGAACATGTCGAGAGGTCGCTAGATGATCGAGAATGGACTGCCTCGAAGTAGTCTGATCGAGATCAAATGGTCTCGAGACAGCTAGATCTTAAGATCTACCATCTTGAACTCCAAGAATAGGTGCTACTATTTGAAATTAACTGAAAACATAGTAACTATTCGAATTTTCAAAAAAAAATAATCTTCATGCCGAAAAATGGATTCGAACCACGTGTTAAAAATGTGTCGCATGTGTCGCACAAGAATGTGTCGTACGTCCGCTGGAAGAAATGTGTCGCAACGAGCTCCTCGTGTCGCATATTAATGTGTCGTACATTGTGTCGCAAAGTACGACACATGCGACACATTTTATCTTAGTGTGTAAGTTTGTGATGCCATTTCTTTTTTTTTTTGTCTTTTTTTAAGAGTAAAAATAATAAATATAAAATGAACAGGATTACTACAGTAGAAACTTCTTAGCATGATAATCGAAGTATATGAACAAAATTTCTGGTTCTGTGTTTTAAATAAGTTGCTTACACTTTTTAATAATTTTGCCATACCAAAAGAAAATGACCCTGGCCCGCCGATGGTTACGATAGCAATGCAGCTGCGAATCACATCAAGCACATCCGTGATATTGAAAATAAATTTAAACTTGCTGATCGATACATGGAGAAATATATCGAACCTATGCTTGATGACGAAGAACCAAGCGAAGAATCAGATTTTTCATCAAGTCATGATGAATAGAACAATGATTTTTAACATCGCGTTTCTTCTTCAAGTTGTTTGAAGCTGTTTGTATCATCTATTCGCACATTTGATTAAAAAGGCACAATGATTCTTGGTATAAGACGACTATTAGAGAGTAGCATATACAGTGGTCGCAAAAATTATTAGTACGATTTCGTTTTTGATTAAAGGTAATCAAAACATGGAGTTTTTAAATTTTAGTGGTGATCAAAAGAATCATCACGCCTTCTAGTATTCATACTATAAAATTTAGCTTTACAGAGTGGACCTGTATTAAACGAGAGATCACTCTTTAAAAAATCATGCATTTTTTTACTCAAAAATTATTCGTACGATTTTGATAAAGAAAATATTTTTCTGCTTTTATGGTTTTAAAAACCTTAATTATGAATAGTTAGATGCAGGAACACTCCCACTCCCACTCCCACTCCACACCCACATCTCACACTCACACTCACACTCCACACCCACATCTCACACTCACACTCTCATCTCAAGATAATAATCAATATTCTTGAACAATATCACCTTTTCTTTCTCATTTGAAATAAAATTTTTATCTTTGAATTATTCTTTGAAATTTCTTTAGCATAAGTATTGAAGAAAAACAGAAAATATCTATTCTTCTCACTCTTACACGCATTTCACATACTATCTTAGAAAGAATTCCAACTGGTGACCCACTAATAATTATGCTTCAATTTCAAAGTAAAAGTCCGTTGTCTTTGAACAGCCAACCATGGTTATTCAATAGGATTCAACCACAAAAACAGATATTGTCAATGTGTAACCTGTTCTTTCATGCATCTAATGATTCATAATTAAAGCTGTTAAAATCATAAAAACGGAAATCTTCTCTTTATCGAAATCGTACGAATAATTTTTGAGTAAAAAAATGCATGATTTTTTAAAGAGTGATCTCTCATTTAATACAGGTTCACTCTGTAAAGCTAAATTTTATAGTATGAATACTAGAAGACGGGATAATTCTTTTGATCACCACTAAAATTTAAAAACTCCATGTTTTGATTACCTATAATCAAAAACGAAATCGTACTAATAATTTTTGCGGCCACTGTATATGCTCCAGCTCTAAATAAACAATATATATATTATATGTTGCACAGTTACGAAAAATACTAGCTAACATGAAGATGTATGACTAAAATCTTAAGAATAAGGTGAAAGAGATAATAAAACTCCGACACATTTCACGAAAACATTCTTAGGAACAGACTCAACAATTATTTATATCTCTTACCAACATACTTACTCGATTATATGAATTTTGAGCAGACTCTACTCAGGCAAACAATAACAATTTACTCTCAAATTAAAATAATTATCGATTCATACATGAAACTGAAGTTTGTTTCGGTTTGATCAGCATTAGAAACGGAGAAGATAATTATCGGCACTGTATCTGGAAGTATAGATCTGAAGTCCCACGATCTAACGTATATGTCAAAGTCAAAAATTCATCAGAACTGCATAGTATAATTATGCGTTTTCGGAAACATTTCCAGAAACAATTGGTTAGGTAATGATCTCAACTTGCCCAATAATCTATCGAAATATGTCCTAACTCAGTCTCATTCGATTGGTGAAAATTACAAGTCACTAGATACTTAGGGCAGTTCAAAAGTACTGGCGGAGGTACTTTATTTTCTTACAGAAAGCTTTAAAAAACTTTCTTTTTTTATGAACACATAGAGCGTCTTTCGCTCTATTTTTCTATGCTATTTGATCACTATTCAACTGGTATCATAGTAATAAAATTTCGATAAGATCTGTTTCGTTCGCATGTTTGCTGGTAGCATGAACATGAATGCTCGTGAGTATTTTTTGAATAAAGTTTGATAGAAACAGGATAGAGAACTACGGTTTTCACTGTTGGAAAGAGATATAAATAATTGTTGAGTCTGTTCCTAAGAATGTTTTCGTGAAATGTGTCGGAGTTTTATTATCTCTTTCACCTTATTCTTAAGATTTTAGTCATACATCTTNTTTTGAGTGAAACTGAAACACATGCTTTTTCTTCTTTGTTATCTAAAACAATCATTTTATGGTGGGTCAGACCGAAATTTTCTACAAGTACGCTACACATCAGGGTGGCCAGATCTTCTGATTTTTCAGAATTTTTCTGATTTTCAGCATCTTTTCTGATGGTTTTCTACTTTCTGATTTTTTCTGATTTTGAAGGTTCTTATTTTAATTGTCCTGTACGAGTTGAGAATCTGATCTGACGCCACATCGAAGTTTTGAAGCTCAGTCATGTTTAATTGCCTCTTTTGTATTTAATCTTTAGTTGATTTTTCCTACACCTCTCTGCATCGACTAGTTGATTAATGGTGTGTCATACCCAGCGAAAAATTTTCCCGATTTTCAATCGGATTTTTGTGCAACAAAATCAAAATTAAAATCGATTGATAATTTTGATTATTGTTGATCATGACTTAACTATTATTTGATATTGTTGCTTATCCAGTGCAAAATTTTTCTATTAAAATCGGACTATTCTGTAGAAAAAAACCAAGATTATAAATCGATTAATAATTTCGATTGTGCTGCAAAATAATCCGATCTTAATCAGAAAATTTTACACTGGATAAGCAACAATATCAAATAATAGTTAAGTCGTGATCAACAATAATCAAAATTATCAATCGATTTTAATTTTGATTTTGTTGCACAAAAATCCGATTGAAAATCGCGAAAATTTTTCACTGGGTAGTAAGCAAAAGCATTAGTTTGCGAGTAAAATGTGTAGTTCTTCAAGAAAGAAAATGTCGGTATTGTAATATAATTATTTATAATTTCTACTCTCTAATTCCTCATTTTAAGTAACCTAGCATGTCATTTATTCTATTTACTAATAGCTATAGCTCCAGTTGAGGCAGTGTTCTTTTCTAATTACATGCACGTTAAACTCAAAACAACAAGTTTTTGTTCAGTCTTTTGAAATATATTTGATTTTTTAGTAAATGTTAGTTCTGTCTTTATGTTATTAATTTTTGTAGTTTGAAGTAACAAAAATCCATAAAAGTAGGTTTTTAACTACTCCAGAACAACGAAAAAATGCCGAAATGAGAAGTGGAGGATAATTAATTATTTTGTTGAAGCTCTCATCTCTCTAATGGAGTGAATACAGGAATCAATTGGTTTGAAACTCTTGGCTTCACTATTAAATTACTAACAAGTTGACTTTATCTGTGCNCACACCCACACCCACACCCACACCCACACCCACACCCACACCCACACCCACACCCACACCCACACCCACACCCACACCCAACACGTACTAAATGTGATTTTTGTCATTTTGGAGATACAATTCGCCAGAAATATGTAATTTAAGAAAATCTGAAATTGGTGAAGTTCCTTGTTTAAGTTATTTTGAAGCACCAGATAGACCAGTAAAAACTATTGAAGCTCATGCTGGTCGAGGATCTTTCGATCCTGATGAGTAAGTGTAAAGAGATGGACACATTACAAGACCAGGTTCTATCTTTTTGATACTCTTCGATTGGACCTATACATGCTTAGATTCGAGAAACATTTGACATTTCAATGTGAAAGTCCAAACTGATGATAAAAATGAATCGCAGCGCGTACACATATCACATGAATTCTCACGAAGAAATGTTCAAAGTTAGTTTTTCAAATACATTTAGCATTCAATTCAGACTTCTAATGTGTTCATCACTTTTTATATCATACGTCTATAGATAGTTACTAACCACCTATATATACATAGATATATAACTACAGTATATCTATCATTTACAAATGGTATCCCATCAGAAGCTGAACATTTGTTCGATTTACCTGATCAGTGGCCTGCCTATTGTGGCAATGCAAATACGGGTAAATTACAATTTTCAGCATCACTTCTGATACAACATTTGAACTATTTTTTAGGATTTAATGTAGAACCCTCTCGTACATTTGTGGTTACTCCTGATGGTCAAGATTATTTAAAATTAACTTTACAAACACCACCAGTTCATGCACCTGGTGATGAAGTTAAAGTTGAATTTAAAGTACAACCAAACTATTTCTACAATGGTACGCGATGTGCTGAGTTTAGTCCAGTTGTTTTTAATCGAGTAAATTGGCAAGTACCACAACAAATTAACATATCATTTGCAGATTATGGTTGTTGCTCATACGCAATTACCGCAACCGGTGGTGGATATGATTGGTATTATACAACACCAACAATTGTTGTTTCCGCCTGTGATGGAGAAGCTGGACATGCTTGCAAAGACAGAGCATGTGGACTTTGAAAATATTGAGGCATATGCATGTATGCAAACAAAAAGAACTATATTTAAACTAAATAAAAAGATATTGTCAATGATGATCTTTACTCGGAGATAGAAATGTAATTTCTCACTATAGATTTGCATCAAAATATCAATGAATATCTGAATTCCGAGGGTATACAATATGAGAGTTTCAGAATCTTACCATGCACAAAGTCAACTTCATCCTCTCTCACATCTTTCAAATCATTTACGTTGTCTGTTTTGTATGTTACTTACAATACTTCGGGTCGAACTAGCAAAAATGTAACCCGTTTGGCACTATAACATAGTCATGTTCTTTTATCTACAGGCTATATGATTAAATGAATATTTCACTCTTAAAACTAGTGGACATAAGTTTAGAATGGCTCTCGTTTGTTTTTCAAATTTTTCAATAAGAACGATCTGAAGAATAGATCCTGATTGAAACTAAATATATTTCATTTAAAAAAGAATCTTTACTTCTTCCGAATAGAGGACGACTACGAAGTCTGGTATCTACAGAATAGTGCACCAAGGTTGAGCATTGCCTTGATCTGGGTCAGCTGCTGCGATCGGTTGTCCATAATTGTCTGTTGTCATTTTCTTTTCGTCCAAAGTATCGAACCAACTATCAACGCTATCCATCAGAAGTTTGACAACGTACTTGAAAGAAAAAACACAAAAATATAAAAGAATCGATAATCAATGTATGTTACGTCGCCAAAGCTGAATGGAAATTGTTTTCCTTGACATGCTTGAATTTCTTTTCTCTCACTGTTGTAATCGTCGACAACGTCAAGATTGGGAATTTTCCTATCCCAGTCGTTCAAGTAGCCGATAGACTCTCCATCATCTAATGTAAAATAACATAGCAATTAGAAATTATTCTTGTCTCATTAGAGTTCTGAAAGACGCGGGAAAGTCTCGCACACGTCTTATTCACAAGAAGATGAAAAGTTTGCAATGTTCTTTTGATTGAAATGGATTTTTTAAATACCTGTACAAACAATAATTGTAACTGGAATGCGACTTGGACGATTGCGTTCATATCTGAGAATATTTTCCAATGAATAAATGTCTCGGCGACCTTGATCATCAGTTGGCATTCCGTCAGTAGCTAACAGAATGAGCAGTTTGCGTTCTCCAATGACATGTTGCTTTTCGCGAAGAATCCGCCGAAGAATGGGTACAATCGGAGTTAGACCTAGAATTACTTCCGACAAAATAATGCATCAACTACAACATTTGTGCAATACCGAGTGGACCTACAGCAACGATTGGAATCAACTCTGCCGAATTCCGTACGTGCACTAAGGGTTCGCAGTTCAGAAAATAAACATCAACATCGTCGGCATCAAGGACCTTCGCAATGTTCACAACAATTGATACTGTTTGCTTGAGCTCATCTCCTAGAAGTAACAGAAATTCAATCCATAGATCCCATCTTCGTCGGATTCTTACAGCGAATAGGTCGTTTACCAAACGGATTGATGATATCTTGTGAAAACATACATGATAAATCGAGAAACACGAAACAAAAGACTCACGAAGCGGAGTGTCAATCAAACTTGAATCATCACAAATGAACACGATCTCATAGCCTTCGAGTCCTCACAAATTTTCAGCGAATGTATGATTGACTAGAAAACATATCGAATTCAACTCGATCATAGAAACCATACATTTGATAATGTCGAACAATCGTGCACAAGAACAAGATCCATTGAGTTACAATACAAGAAATGTTTTTCTTGAGAAAACCGCTGTCCGAATCTCTCAAAAAAAACTCACTTTCATAACGGTTGACAAGTTGTTCAAATTCGAACATGCTATTTTCGCTCGATGTTTCATAGTTTGGGTTTCGAGAGTACTTATAATCCAATCTGCTTTCTGCGGGATTGGCCATAACTTCCGGATATTGGGTGTATGGGTGTGAGTGTAGGTGTGTGGATGTGTGGGTGTGGGTGTGGATGACGGTGTGGGTATGTGTGAATTCAAATGACATACACCCCCCCACGCCCAGCCACACCCACACCCACACCCTCAGTTTCAGGAAAAGAATATTTACTCCAATGTGATATGTGTTATAATTGCACATTAACAAAATCTAACAATACGCAGAGTATTATATTACAAATAGATAAGATTAATTCTTCTTTATACACAAACAAATGTTCATATTTCTCCTTTGAAAAACAGACAATAAAAAAACTATATTCCACACAAAAAATCATATATTGGAAAACTTTTTTCAACAACAAAATCCTAATTTACCAATAACAGCTGAAAATTTATCTGAATACTACTTAATTAATAATCCAATGTGATTGATTTTAGATCATTTTCGCCATGAACTAATCAATGTCAACCAATCTGAAAATTAAATAACAACCATTTGATTCATTAAAACCTAGATTTGCATCAAGACTATAGTTATCACCATCATCATCAATAAAAAAGTATTTTCATTATTATTATTTTCAATGAATGAATTATCTTTAAAATTTTTATGATCAGATGTTGAATATAAACCTTGTTCAGTCTAAAAACACATTGAACTATATAAAGACTTTTACTTAAAATAGTTCAGTTGCAATAAATTATTTAAAACTTATTGTGTTGTTGGAAAAGGTGAACGCAAGGTAGTTCTAAAAAATATGGGACTCGAAAAAAAAATATTACGAGTATTCATCCGTACTACTTAAGTCAGCAAAAATATGATTGAAAAACATATTACTTGAATCTCCTGAGTTGATTTCGATGACAAAAACATCTACAAGGGAAAAAAAATGTTGGTGACAAATACAGTTCTTCAGAGACAAATAATTCTTCCTCCCTTTACGTCTAGTAGAAGGTAATCGGTAGATGGCTTTTCAAAATGATCGACTATCTTGAAATATTGCTACAATTGTAAATGAATAAGTAACTACGATACATCCATATCTATGCTTGTATCTGAATAAAGATATCATGTGCTAAATTGACGTTGAAGGTTAGGCACGAATATTCTATAGAAAAAAAAGAAGCTTGTCTGAAATTTGAGAAATTTTATAATATCTTGTGATTCTTTCTAGACTCTTGTTTTTCTGATCGATCTGACAAGGTTCTTGTCATCTTTAACTCCCGTCAAGATTCTTTTGAGCTTGAGCTTCTGGTAAGAATCTGGAAAGAAGTGAGGCAAGATTATCAATTTGTGGGTACTTTTATTGAAGTGTTGAGAACATTTGTTTTGGTCTCTTTATATTAACATGAGATAAAGCTTGTATATGCTCTATAAAATCTTCATTAACACGACTAATATCGTCACACAGGTATTCGTGTTTAGCTTCTGTTTATAAATAGTTATTTATTACTTTCTGATTACTTTTTATTGAGTATTTTTATTCCTATTTAGTTCATATTTTTCTCTAACCACTTCTTCATCATGTTTATCACTTTCAAATTTACTCATACGTCCTTAATTTATTGACTGTAGATCATATTGTATTTAAGTATTTTAGTGTCTCTTCATGTTATTGTGTAAGTAGTTCCAAGTACAATATTTTAGAAAATAGTTGAAGTTTACATGAATTCTTTGATGGTTTACAAAAAAAAGACTTTCTATTTCAAAATAATCGACCGTTGTATTATTATTATTGAGTGTTGACAGATTTGATTGAATCTAACTGGCTTACGTTACTACCAGCACTGATAAGACAAAAATCTTAGCGACTACAGGTCTGTCTCAGTTAAATTCTCAACATAGTCATGAGCAGTTTGAAGTCTAAATTCAATAAAAAGTTTTAAGTGAATCTCGCAATTATTTATGTTTCTCTTTCTCTTGTTTACTTTAGAAGGTTCGAGAAGAAAATTTATCGATGATAAAATTATGCCTTTTTCTCTTTTCTTAATTAGAAAAACGTAACATTTACGTTATTGATGAAAATGAAATTATGCGCATTTTAATATCGTTCTTTTTGCCATTCTTGCAGCGTTGCGAAAAAGTACCGTACGTTCGCTAGTTTTTCACTTTTCAGTTACACTTATGAAGAGAAATTATAAGTTATGCTTCAATGATTTATATGGCTTATTTTTTTCTGAGCGTTATTTAATTCGTTCTTATTTTATTCCTAACGATATATTGATGTGCATTACATCGAAGACCATGTTTTTTTCATCAATATAAATGTTTATTTCTTTCATGTTAACAACATACAGGTAGTACAGAACAGATATGTGAATGCTGATCTACTTGTCCATGACTTTTACATCATTCACTAGAAGCAGTAGATTTCCATCTGTTACCTAAAATCCTGAATGGACCTACTTTGTTTCTATGTTCAGTACGAATGTCAGAATTCAATATTTTCATTTTAAATTTCTTCAGCTGTGTTGCCATTACAATCATTTTTTCATAAATCAATGCTTTATAAAGTGTCCAAAGAAACTTTCTCTTCAGACGGTCTGATAGTATAAAAACATGTTTTTTTGTTTTATATGAGAATAATACTATTAAAAAAGCGATATATATTTACATTGGTTTAATCCAATAATTTCATTGTTTTTGGTTAATGATAACAAGTTCATTCAAAGTGCTTTTGTTTTACTCGATCATAGTCTAAATGTCTCTACTGCTTCTTTTCATATTTTCTAAGTAGTTCATAAGATTGATTGTATTATCAAAAAAATTACAGCAATAGATAAAGTTCATTTAACTGCCCCTAATCAAATGTGATCGAAATAATTGACTACTTTCTTGTCGCCAAAATACCTTCTGAATATATCTTGATGCTAGAAGAGAAATGATTTCCACAGTAGAAATCTCAAATCGTCATAATGTTAGGATATTTTCAATGACGAGTGACATGAATAGGTTTTAATGAGTGAACCAAAATTATGAAAAAAACAGATAGTTATCACATACATTTTTTTTTACTACACGTGTCATATTCATTTGGATTGATGAGAAAAATAATAAACGTACGCAAACTTCTGTTAACCCTAACTTTGTTCATGTAATCTTCGTTTTATGATATATCTGATAATGGGAGAGTTAGGTGAATTTTTTTCTGCTGGTTAACATTGAATTAGTAAAGAAATTATTAACCCTTATGCTTGAGACCAAATCGGTCGAGTTTTGCCGATCTTTCTTTCGTTTTTTATTTATCATATTGAATGGTTAAAGTCGATCTACATGACGAATTTTCAATAGTTTCCATCCTGAAATAATGGAGAGACTTGGTGTCTGACAGTTGCGAAATAAAAAAATTTCAATTATTATCAAGATTTAGATTCTAATATTGAGATAACATTTTCCACTCATACAATGAGATCATCGAATTTATATCGAATCAATATCTTGCAGTCACAAAGAATTAGTGATATATTAGAAATTTATTTTCGTCTGATCTAAATATTCTTCATTTCGAAATGTTGAGTATACTTTTCTGCACTAATTTTCACCGACTTGCCAAATATTCAAGTTCAGCATCTATAAGGTCTATAATTTCGACATTGTGAACAACACTTGTGGAATAAACATGTTAAATTCGAGTTTCCTTTTCGAAATCTTTGAACTTGAGAGTATGCATTCTACCTTTTCATCAAAGTCATTTTCTGTTTTTCCTTGTTTCTACTCTAGATTTTTCTAGTTATCATGAATAATAATGACTTATTGGACGTTCCTCAACCTATTGAAGAACATCGTTCCGACGGAATCATATTGAATAATGAATTATTCATGAATGAAACAGAGCAAAGAAATGGTTCAATCGCTGAGAAGAATCAAAGACGATCACGCAAAAGTTCAACACCGGCGTATGTATCTCTCTTTTCAATTCCAATCATAAATTGTCTTTGTCTTTGTTAGAGCATATTTTTATAAGACAACTTCGAAGCATCGTATACTTTGTGTTGGGTTTCCCTTATTTACAGTCATATTCATGGCCATCGGTGTTCTTACAGTTTGCTTTACTTCACCTACACAGCACAGTATGTATGTGTATTATCATTTTTGGATGCGGATTCTATTAACCTAGAATGACAACATAGTGTTCAAAATATATTCGTTGTAATAAAAAGCTTAAAACTATTAAAAGCCTTCCTTAACTGTAATTTATTATTGAAGATAGTTGCCTAAATATTAGATTCAAATGTATTAACATTCGCTCTCATTCTCACTACTGTCAACAATCTCACACATACGTACATAGAGTTTGAATACTATTTTCTCATGTCCATGTGAAGATGTCTTTGATGCATTTTACTGTAATACGAATAAGCGAATATAAATAATTAACTTATTGAAAAATCAATGTGTACTATGTTTTCTTCATGTAGTCGAGTATCAGAGTGTATTCATAGATGAGAACATAATAATTTCTTAGTTTTATGCAAGAGAGAAGATAGATTCTACGTGAGTTTAATTTTGCCGATGACATATGCTAGTATTAAACAACAGTGTAACATACTATTACATTCTTTAAATAGAAGCGCAAACATCCTAATATTTGTAGATGAGTAAATCGGTGAAATAGTAGTAGTATAGTAGAAAAAGATACGTTTTCAGCGGACATCATAGTATAATTTTTATTACATTGATTTTTAACATTTTTTTCTCATATTTTTATGATCATCATGTAAAAAGAGTTTATCTCTTTAAGAAATATATTCAATTCGAAAAGCGCGTCAATTAGATTACGCTTATTTGAGTTGTTTCTCATCGCTTTGGTAACTAGGAAATAAATCATTAATTAAAGACATGAAACTCAGGTATTACCCATGCCTAGATGTTATAGAATTCTTTTATTCCATCAGTTATCAATGCAAAACTGTCACACTTGATCGGATTCATTCAAATAAAATGTTTTCATGCATTTTTAGTATCAAATCGACTTGTGTTCTGCATTAATATTATTCCAGCTCTTGTTCTCATTAGATTGTCTTCAAGTGATCCCTACTACGAATCAAAAAATATATTCTATCTGTGGATGATCAAAGTTTTTGTATCTTGTTTCTAGAGCCAATATGTCCATTTGTATTAATGTCTCAGGCTCAAGATTGGACGGGCGTCAGAAGTCGTAAAATACCTATTGCATTAGGTAATTTCAACAATGACCATCATTTGGACATCATCGTAACTCAACCTGACAGCAACAAAATGAATATTTTCTTTGGATTAGGTGATGGAACGTTTCCAACGAATCCACAGGCATCAGTTATATCCTCTTCTCCTCCATACTTCATTGCAGTTGGCGACTTCAATAATGATAGTTGGCTGGATTTCGCCATCGCTAATTATGATCGCCATAATATAGGTATTTTCCTCAATTATGGCAATGGAACATTCAAAAACGAAAGCACATATTCTACTGGCTCTTCTCGTCCACTTTCACTCTCCATTCATGATTTCAACAATGACAAATATTTAGATATTGTTGTCGCTAACGATGGTACGAATAATGTAGGGGTACTACTCGGATATGGTAATGGATCTTTTTCTGATCCCCTGATATTTTCAACTGGTTTTGATTCTCTTCCTAATGCGGTCGTTGTTGCTGATGTTAATAGCGACAATCAACCGGATATTGTTGTTGCCAACTCCGGCACAAATACTATTGGAGTGTTTCTTGGATTTAATGATGGCACCTTTTCACATCAAATAACATCTCTAACAAGTGGTCGCCCTGTCTCGTTAGCCGTTGGCGACTTCAATGGTGACACTCGACTAGACGTCGTTGTAGCGAACAATGACAGTAATATACAAATATTTCTTGGAAATGGCAATGGAACATTTACCAGTTTAGCTATCTATGCAACGGGATTTCATTCCTATCCTAGTTCAATAGCTGTACGAGATTTCAACAAAGATGGTCGACTTGATATTATAGTTGTCAATAGTGGTACTAAAAATTTAGGTCTCTTTCTCGGATACGGCAACGGAATCTTCGAAAACCAACGAGTATATCCTATAAATAATGGAGCTCCACAAATAGTCGATGCTGGAGATTTAAATAATGATACTTGGATAGATATCGTCGTTTCTATTTATAGTCCTTATAATGTGGGTGTTTTTCTTGGAGGTCCAGATAAAATTTTACCAATTATATGACATATCCAACTGGGGGCTTATCTAATCCCTACGCAGTCGCCGTAGCTGATTTCAACAATGACACAAAACTGGACATCGTTGTAACAAATTCTCGAAGTAATGAGATAGCCATATTTATTGGACAAGGTGACGGCAATTTTGGTTCGAGAATAGCATATTCAACGGGAACAGGTTCTGCACCCCAATCAGTCGCTGCTGGTGATTTTAACAGCGACAATCGACTCGATATTGTCGTCGCTAATAGTGGTACTGACAATATAGGAATTTTTCTTGGAAACATTGATGAAGTTTTCTCAGACCAAATTACATACCAAACGGGAGATGGTTCACAACCTTTATCGGTCGCAGTAAGTGACCTCAATAACGATCAACAGCTTGATATCATTGTCGCCAATTATGGAACGCACAATCTAGGCATTTTTCTTGGATATGGTAATGGGACTTTATCAGACCAAACAATATACTCAACTGAATGGAAGTCTTCCCCAAGTTCAGTCGCTGTTGGTGACTTTAACAATGATAAATGGCTTGATATTGTCGTCACCAATTATCATGCTAACAATATAGGTATTTTTCTTGGATATGGCAACGGAACATTTTCAAATCAAATTGTATATTCAACAGGTGGGAGTTCAGGACCGTATTCAGTTGCTGTAAGTGACTTTAACAACGATAAACGACTTGATGTCGTTGTCGGTAATTATGGGGCTGACAATTTAGGTATTTTTTTTGGATATGGCGACGGAAATTTTTCAACTCAAATTGTGTATTCAACAGGAAAGGGCTCAGGCCCCAATTCAGTTGCTGTGGGCGATTTAAATAATGACACTCAATTGGATCTTATAGTAGCCAATTATAATATGGGAAATGTAGGTATATTGCTTGGAAATCGCAATGGAACTTTCTCAAGTCAAACCACATATTCAACTGGATGGGAATCTTTGCCGAATGCAGTCGCTCTTGCTGATTTCAATAGCGACGATCGGCTCGATATAGTAGTTACACTTGTTTATTTTTTCTCGATAGGTATCTTTTTTGGATATTACAATTCACCTTTCACAGTTCCTATAATATATACAAGCAATTCAGTTTCTATGCCATTTGCACTAGCTGTTGCAGATTTTGACAATGACAATCTATTGGATCTCGTTGCTACAAATTATGGTGATGATAATGTAGATATTTACCAGAATTTTGTAAATGGAACTTTCCAAAGTTCAAAATTGTATTCAACGGGTTACACTACTGGTCTGTATTCGATCGCTGTAGGTGACTTCAATAATGATAATCATGTCGATGTTGTAGTTGCTAATTATGATAGTGACAATATTACTATCTTTCTCGACTTTGGCAATCGGAGTTTCGAAAGCGGCTTATCATATACTACAGGGCTTGATTCTGGTCCTTGTTCACTTGCCATCGGTAACTTCAACAACGATAGTCGACCAGATATTGTTGATGCTAATAATGCGGATAACAGTATAATTTTATTTCTTTTTTATGGCTTTGGAGCCTTTCCAAACGAGAAAAAAGTGCACACAAATACATCTTATATACCCTCTCGTGGAGTTGCTTTTGGTGATTTCGATAAAGATCATCGAATCGATATGGTTTTAGCCGATTTCAAAAATGACACTATAACTGTGCTTCTTGGAAATGACAATGGAGTTTTCTCGAGTCAAACTAGATATTCTACCGGACGTGGGTCTTATCCATTCTCAGTTGCCACTGGTGATTTTAATAATGATACACGACTAGATATCGTTGTAGCCAATGCGCACAATGACAATGTAGGAATATTTCTCGGAAAAGGTGATGGTACATTTTTCGATCAAGTCACATACTCAACGGAATGGAAATCTGAGCCAACTATCGTCACCGTTGGTGATTTTAATAATGACAATCGATTGGATATTGTCTTGACTAACTACCGTGATTTTAGTATAGGCGTTCTTCTTGGTAATGGTGATGGAACATTTCCAACACACACAGAATATTCAACTGGCGATTATTCGTATCCGTGGGGAATCGCGGTTGGTGATTTTAATAACGACGCTGGACTCGATGTCGTTACAAGTAATCATGATGGTTATACTATCAGTGTTTTTCTTGGGTATGGAAATGGTACTTTTACCGAGCAAACCTCATATCCAACCGGAGAGAAATCTGTGCCTATTGGAATCGATGTCGGAGATTTTAATAACGACAATCGAATGGATATTGTTGTAGCCAACTATGGTAATGATAATGTAGGTATTTTTTTTGGTAATGGTGATGGAAGCTTTTCAAACCAAGTGACATATTCAACTGGTAATGTATCTGGACCGTATTGGGTAGCTGTTGGTGATTTTAACCAAGATGCTCAACTAGATGTTGCTGTTGCTCTTTCTCTCTCTGATAATGTAGCTATCTGTTTCGGAGATGGAAATGGAACATTGAGTAGTCCAACAACATTTGGAACTGGACGAACATTTTATCCATGGTATTTGACAGTTTATGATTTCAATAATGATACCTGGCTTGATATAGCCGTAGTCCTTGGACAAGTTGGTGGTATTATGGTACTTTTAGGCGATAAAGATACAATGTTTTTAGTACCTATAAAATATTCAACTAACCCGAATTCTGCTCCACAGACTATAGTAGTTGGAGATTTCAATAATGATAAGTATTTAGATGTAGGTGTTACATATAGTAAGAGTAATAATGTAGGTTTCTTTTTTGGAAATGGTGACGGACGTTTCTCGAAACAAGTAACATATTCAACTGGTACTGATTCTAGACCATGGTCAATGGCTGTGGCTGACTTTAACAACGACACTCGACTCGATGTTGTCGTGACAAATCGTAATAGTAATAATATAGGAGTATTTCTTGGACTGGAAAATGGGACTTTTAGCGAGATAATCACATATTCAACCGGTCTACTGTCTGATCCCATATCCGCCGTTATTCTAGATTTCGATCGAGACAACAAACTAGATATTGCTGTTGCTAACAATGGTGGAAACAGTATCAGCATATTTCAAGGATATGGTAATGGAGAATTTTTGAATGTAGCAACATATTCAACTGGTTATAATTCTCATCCAGTTTCAATCGTCATCGGTGATTTCAATAACGACGGATGGATGGATATTGTTGTGGCTACTTTAGGTACAAAAAACTTAAAAATCCTTTTAAAACTATGTTAATTTTTCTGTACGTTTATCTATTTCTTATTCTTTGCTGTGAGTGTAAATTGAGTTTTTTATATTCATGTACGTTCTCACTCCATAATAATCATATGTTTGAAATTTAGTTTCTTTATGGTGAATAAAGGTGCCAAACTTGAAACTTGAGTTCAATTGAAATTTTAAGTTTCCAGTTTTCAGTTTCAACTTTCAAGTTTCAAGGTTAAAATTACATGAGCCCGGAAAGTTCTTGAAATTTGAAAATTGAAAATTGAAAATTGAAATTTCAATTGAATTCAAGTTTCCAGCTTAACATATATGATGTGAATATGAGTGTGATAGGAGGAAATCTGCAGAAAAAAACCTAACCCTCACCAGCATGCCCACAGAACCACACCTACACTCTATTGCATAAGATTCTTCGATTGTGAGATAAAGTTTCAACTTTTGCATATGATTTATTATGCGCTGAATAAACAGTCCAATACTGTAAAACAATAGGTTTATTGTGAAACCAGTGTCCTTGCTCAGATCCTTTAATGCTTCATATCAATTTACGTAAGCTAAAAAACATCAGAAAACGATTTTGCTGAATATTTTAGGCTTCATAAATTGATACGAAACCTTAAAGGATCTGAATGTGAGCACAAGTTTCATAATAAATCCATTTTTTACATTGAACTCTACCTACACTCATGCCCTGTCAAGTAAAGAAATAGGAGAGTATGGGGGTGTGGATGTGGGTGTGGATGTGGATGTGGTTGTCGGTTCCGTTCTGAGTCTCGATCTGGGATGGACACGGTGCTCTATGAAATCGGCATACACATCTTCGCACACCCATACCCCAATATACAATGTTGATGAATGTTACTTGTGTTATTTTGTATACTAATTTATAGTTTTACTTTTTTTAGTTGTTTCCGTGTGATTAATTAAGGTTATTAATTTTTAAATAAAAACATAGTTAGTCACGAGGAAAAGAATTAAGTTTGAATCATAGAGGCATGGCATTCACTTAAAACAGCACACATAGCAATAGTAATGCCCACATTTTCCGCAACAATATATATCAGTAACATAAGATACCCAATCATTATGAAAACAGGCTCCGCATTGATCACATTGACCATCATAATAACGAAAAAAATGACCACTACCATTTCTACCAACACGATCACTATACAATTGACGAGGCTGGCCATAACGATTAACGCAAGTATTACCATGCCTACCATTACATCGATTATTGCAATTTTGGAACTGGCAGACGAAATGTGGTTCCTGTGGAGAGTGTGTTTTGCTCTGTTGTACATAGGCTAAATAAAAATGTGAAATATTGATTTCACTAGTGAGAAATGTTAGGGTAACTACATCGAATTTAAGAGCGTCAGTGCCGGTTGAGTCAATTTTCTGCTACTCTCCAGTATAATTGGGTGATTCTAACGTCTGATTGAGAGAACATTATTAAAGTGCTGATTGGGTTTCTGATAGACTCGGAAGAAAAACTTTCACGAAAATATTGTTCATGGCGGTGTCATTTTTGTTATCCTCTATAGCTGCTTTGTACAAAACATTCCTGTAGGGACTTCAAAAATGATTAGGTAGTATGTTTTTATAAAAAGATGAATTGTCAAGTAAATGATATTATTCAGGATGTCTAATTATTTTCATAGTTGCATGTAAACCCAAAATGATTTAATTGTGTTACGTAGGATTCTGTTCATTATGAGAAAAGCACGACTCTCAACAATATGTTCGTAAAATCACATCATACGATAGTACTGAATGGTGATAATGATTGAGACATTCGATTGTTTGCCTACTTATAAAGTACATCAGTTTTTCGACTTGTCCAGGTAAGGCGGCAATTCATTAATCAATTTTTATTTTTTTTCAAAATGAGCAGTTCTAAACGCATCGTCAGGTGCAATTTCTAAAGTTCATTATGAATCTGACATTTTTTTAAAGCAAAATATTTTGATGCTGAAAGTCGATCGTTGAACATTTCAAAACTTAAGTAAACCCGCAGGGTGTTTCATAAGTTTCGAGATTTGTTAAAAATTAACTTTTGTGTAAACAAAAGACGATCTCAAATCAAATGATTTTTATATGAAATGTGAGTAATTGTGACGGGCTTCCAAATGGTGCATTTTGATAATATATCTTGTCTTGTAATGGCAAAAATATAAGCATGATAATGTTATAAGAATTTTTTCGAAATCGACCAACATTAATTTGTACAGACTTTTTTAACAAAGCCTTAGGCTCATTTTTCATTAAAAAATTGTAGCTAGAGCCAGGAACTTGTGATTTTAATCGATTATTCGACACTCATTATGTAGCATAAATCACATATTCAACTTCACTATATACTGACTAATCGAATTGAAATGGATAAAATATATTAACACATCACGTGACTCTGCAGAGCGCAAATTTTTTTTCAGTGATTACATTCATAAATTTTTCTTATCCGAAACGTTTATTAAATTCAAAGTGAGATAATTCGTTTTATTATTAGATTCGGATGAGACAAATAAATCACCGATGGTGTGAATGAGTGTGGGCTGCAGGGGTAAATGTGTACAGGAGTGTTTGTATTCTTCTCGTTCTACACCCACACTCACAAATGCTCAAACTGCCCCACCCTATTTGTCCATGTTGGTCGATTTCGAAAGATTTCTCATAACTTTGCCATGCTTATATTTTTACTACTACAAGAAAAGATATATTTTCATAATACGCCATTTGAAAGCTCATCACAATTACTCACATTTCGTATAAAAACATTTGTTTTCAGATCATATTTTCTTTACATAAGCGATAATTTTTAACAAGCCTCAAAACTTATGAAACATCCTGTATAAAGTCGGACATTACACTAAAAGTTTCGTCAAGATTCTCTTTTATTGGAGTAAAGAACGACATTGTCATTTTAGGATATCCGTTTGAAACCAAATAACACACATAATTTAACCTCAATAGCAAATTCACATTTGACCACAAATTATCACTCAGCATCTCTAGTTGAGGTATTCCATTTTCAATGGAAAACAGATCGACCTATATCTCTCAGATACAAATCAATCGGCTAGTTTCAACTCTAATAGAAAACAGACCGATCTATATCCCTCCGATACAAATCAATCTGCTAGTCTCAACTCTGGCTTTTCAGCAACCGATGAAGTCGTAATTAATTTGCAAAATCAAATGATGTGCTTCTTCAAATTGTAAATGAAATGCAGAGTTTAATTTCGCCGACGCGTTTCGTGTTATTTATTGAAATAATAAAACACTCACCAGGGCTCTGCATTATAATAAAAAGCATATAATAAGACAAATTTTTGCATAAAAAAAACAGATGTTCTCTAAACCGAAAACATTGTGATAACTGTAAACTATATTTATAAAAAAAAAGACTAGAATTTTGAAAAAAGGCTACGCAATAGTATAAAACTAATTCTAAAATTTCCGCATGGTAAATTTTTTGAATAGTAAAATTTTCGAATAGAACACTTCGCAACAGTACAATTCACATTAACTTGAGGGTGTGTGTGTGGGTGTGGGTGGGTGTGAGTGTGAGTGTGGGCGTGAGTGTGGGTGTGGGTGGATGCGTGGGTGGATGTGTTGGTGTGGGTGTGAGGGTGGGTGTGGGTAGCTGTGCGTATGGTTGTGGTTGTGGATATTCTTTATTGCCAAAGACACACCGACACTTACACTCACTCCACACCCACACCCCACCCACACCCACACCCACACCCCACCCACACCCACACCTACACACCCACACCCACACCCACACCCCACACCGATGTATTATTTCTGCATGATCATGGTTTTATCAATTTTTGTTTTGTGCATCTGCAGTGAGCGGTTGCAATTGTTGAAGCGATTCTTCAAACGTGAGTGAGAGAGAAGAAAAAATCCTTCTCATCAGTAGATTTTAAAAACATAGATGAAGAAACTGAAATTGTTCGTTCTCAATATGACTGATTATGTGCATGTCAAAGTCTGTTGAATGTAGAGACATAACTTTATTTTCTTTATCGTATTATCTCAAAAATGTTTTCGATTAGATCTGATGTTGTTTCTTCAAAAATGTTCTTGATACTGAGTTCGATCTTGTTGAAAAGAAGTAAAACAAAAACTATGAACCTTCTGATAGAAGACGAAGCGACAATATATACATCTTTCTAGAACTTGTCTAACTTGAGTATCTGAATTCTCCAATGAATGACAGAGAAATCGATTAATCTATCCTAAGGAAATCTTCTGTTTTTGATTGAATATTAAGAGAATTCTTAAAATGTTTTATTTCTTTGGCCTTATCGTGTTTCTTAAATTTTTCTATTCCAGATTTGTTGGCATAAACAGTTTCACTTATCAAAAGTATAGTAGAGATTATAAACGGAATGGTATAAGCTTTTCTAGCATTCCATTTTTTAATATCATTGTGAGATCTACATTCACGCTTAACAACCAAAAGTGTTCA